AAGGACAGCGCGCTTTTTTTTTAGTGCTTGCCTATAAAACAAAACTTTGACAGTTAAGGGCACACAAGACTTTAACTAGGAATTTCTAAGTACAAATCAAGAAACATTTTCACAGAGTTATCTTCTCTTGCTTACAGATTAGGTCTCATGATGGCACATAAGAACTCCAACTTCCAAAGTAATATCTCAAATGGTTAAGTCAACAAGTGGACAAGAATGAAAATCTTAACTGAGTTTCTATGTCAAAAAGGGCCATAATTCAAATAAAATCCTTAACAGAATTACCTTCTCCTGCCCATGTTTTGGGACCATGATGGTAAACAAGTATTCCAACTTTCAAATTAATATCTCAAACAGTTCAGTCAAAAAGTGGACTGGTACTAAAAACTTAACCAAGATTCTAAGTCGATAAAAGGCCTTAATTTTTTTAAACACAATCCTTGACAGAGTTACCTTCTCTTGCGTACAGATGGGGGTAATGATGTGAAATAGCATTAAAAGTTTCAAAGCAATATCTCAAAGGGTTAAGGCAATAAGTGGATTTTACCCATATTCAATGTATTTTCTAAGTCAAAAAGGGGCATAATTCTGTCAAAAACCTTGACAGAGTTATGTCCTCTTGTCTGTTGATGAAGGTCGTGATGGTAAACAAGTATGGTCAGTTTCAAAGCAATACCTCCAATGGTTTTGAAATAAAGTGAGGTGGTACAAAAAACTTAACCAAGCTCAATACACTTTCTAAGTCAAAAAAGGGCCATAATTCTGTCAAAAACCTTGACAGAGTTATGTACTCTTGTCTGTAGATGGAGGTTATGATGGTGAACAAGTATGGTAAGTTTCAAAGCCATACTTGTAATACTTCTGAAATAAAGTGGGGTGGTACGAAAAACTTAACCAAGGTGTGACGCCGACGCCGGGGCGAGTAGGATAGCTCCCCTTTTCATAGAAAAGTCGAGCTAAAAAATGAAGTCTGGTGAAATCTGTATAGACAGATCATACCGAATGAAATCTGGTGAAATCTGTATAGACAGATCATAATGAATGAAGTCTTGTGAAATCTGTATAGACAGTTCATAATGAATGCAATGTAGTGAAATCTGTATAGACAGATCATACCGAATGAAGTATGGTGAAATCTGTATAGACAGATCATACCGAATGAAATCTAGTGAAATCTGTATAGACAGTTCATAATAAATAAAGTGTAGTGAAATCTGTATAGACAGATCATACTGAATGAAGTCTAGTGAAATCTGTATAGACAGTTCATAATAAATAAAGTGTAGTGAAATCTGTATAGACAGATCATAATGAATGAAGTCTAGTGAAATCTGTATAGACAGTTCATAATAAATAAAGTGTAGTGAAATCTGTATAGACAGATCATACCGAATGAAGTATGGTGAAATCTGTATAGACAGATCATACCGAATGAAATCTAGTGAAATCTGTATAGACAGTTCATAATAAATAAAGTGTAGTGAAATCTGTATAGACAGATAATAATGAATGAAGTCTAGTGAAATCTGTATAGACAGTTCATAATAAATAAAGTGTAGTGAAATCTGTATAGACAGATAATAATGAATGAAGTCTAGTGAAATCTGTATAGACAGTTCATAATGAATGCAATCTAGTGAAATCTGTATAGACAGATCATACCGAATGAAATCTAGTGAAATCTGTATAGACAGTTCATAATAAATAAAGTGTAGTGAAATCTGCATAGACAGATTATAATGAATGAAGTCTAGTGAAATCTGTATAGACAGTTCATAATGAATGCAATCTAGTGAAATCTGTATAGACAGATCATACCGAATGAAATCTAGTGAAATCTGTATAGACAGTTCATAATAAATAAAGTGTAGTGAAATCTGTATAGACAGATTATAATGAATGAAGTCTAGTGAAATCTGTATGAAATCTAGTGAAATCTGTATAGACAGTTCATTATAAATAAAGTGTAGTGAAATCTGTATAGACAGATTATAATGAATGAAGTCTAGTGAAATCTGTATAGACAGTTCATAATGAATGAAGTCTAGAGAAATTTGTATAGACAGATCATACCGAATGAAGTATGGTGAAATCTGTATAGACAGTTCATAATGAATGCAATCTAGTGAAATCTGTATAGACAGATCATACCGAATGAAGTATGGTGAAATCTGTAAAGACAGATGATACCGAATGAAATCTAGTGAAAACTGTATAGACAGATTATAATAAATAAAGTGTAGTGAAATCAGTGTATAGACAGATCATAATGAATGCAATCTAGTGAAATCTGTATAGACAGATCATACCGAATGAAGTATGGTGAAATCTGTATAGACAGATGATACCGAATGAAATCTAGTGAAAACTGTATAGACAGATTATAATAAATAAAGTGTAGTGAAATCAGTGTATAGACAGATCATAATGAATGAAATCTAGTGAAATCTGTATAGACAGATTATAATAAATAAAGTATGGTGAAATCTGTATAGACAGATCATAATGAATGAAGTCTAGTGAAATCTGTATAGACAGATTATAATGAATGCAATCTAGTGAAATCTGTATAGACAGTTCATAATGAATGAAGTCTGGTGAAATCTGTATAGACAGATCATAATGAATGAAGTCTAGTGAAATCTGTATAGACAGATCATAATGAATGAAGTCTAGTGAAATCTGTATAGACAGTTCATAATGAATGAAGTCTAGTGAGTCTAGTGAAATCTGTATAGACAGATCATACCGAATGAAATCTGGTGAAATCTGTATAGACAGATCATAATGAATGAAGTCTGGTGAAATCTGTATAGACAGATCATACTGAATGAAGTCTGGTGAAATCTGTATAGACAGATCATAATGAATGAAGTCTGGTGAAATTTGTATAGATAGATCATACCGAATGAAGTCTGGTGAAATCTGTATAGACAGTTCATAATAAATGAAGTCTAGTGAAATCTGTATAGACAGATCATACCGAATGAAATCTGGTGAAATCTGTATAGACAGATCATAATGAATGAAGTCTGGTGAAATCTGTATAGACAGATCATACCGAATGAAGTCTGGTGAAATCTGTATAGACAGATCATACCGAATGAAGTCTGGTGAAATCTGTATAGACACATTATATAGGGTGAAATATAGTAAAATTAGTGAAGTTAAGTTTTTTAGTACACATAACTTGGTAAGATCTTTCAAATCAGGACACATATTAGGATAGACATTATTAGTTCAGTCAAATCTGTATAGACAAAATATCAAGAGTAAAATTTGGTGGTCATGAACCTTTTTCAGTACATGCGGTAATGCATTTTTTATGTTTTTGTTCAAACTATTCCTTATAAAAACCTAATTTATTTTTCATTAAAATGAAAAAGTTTCAGAAAAACGTATCTTTTATTCCTTACAGTAGATCTATATTTACTTTCACGACATCATGCAGATTTTACGACTTTCAAATCTGTATGGACGAGTACCTTCAAATCTGTATAGACTTTCGCCCTTTCCCATCAACAATGGAATCGTTGTACAATATTCCCTTTTCTGTGTTAGAATGTCCACGGTTGAGGTTAAAGAAGCCGACGTGGATCAAGCAACCCTCTGCGATGACAATGTTTGCAATTGTCTTGCTGTCATATTTTCTTGTGACAGGAGGTAATCATTATTTGATTAAACTTTGGGTATTCAGACTATTCTCTCCCTTAAGCCTAGGTCACAAATAAGAAAATGCCGCCGGGCGGCGACTGTTTCTCCACAAAATCGCAATATCGGCCGGCGTCCGTCCGGCGGCAGTGACTATCGGACGGCAGCAGCTGAAAATTTTGCTCATCGGGCGGGCGCCTTCGAGTTTTAAGTAATACTTAAAAGCTAACGGCGGCCGGAAGATAATTTTTGGTGTCACTGAGTATAAATATCATCGAGCGGACATCGCTCGGTCGCCGGGCCGCGACAGGGCGATGATTTTTTGATCGGGCAATTTCTTGTTCTTCTAAAACACCGTCCGATTTAAAAGGCGTCCCGACGGACATCGGCCGGGTCCCGCCCGGTCCCTGAATAGAGACAAGTTGTCAAACGATTATCGCCCGGTACCCGGACGATTCATGTACAGGCACCGGGCGGTCATCGTTTTGTCATCCGGCGACCGGGCTGCTTATGTTTGTTGTAATTTCAGCTTGAAGAAGTTGTAATTGCCTCAAAAATATATTTGTGAATTTCTTTTGAATACTAGTAAACATGAATTTTTTCTTCAATGTCCATGAGAATGTTTAATTGATTTTTGCCTTCTACGGCCTCGACACTGGCCGTTGGTGACTCGGTGTCAACAACACTGACCATCTCCTTGGCCTCCCCCTTGGCTTTGGCAGCTGACTTCTTTGCTGGCATAATTACAACTGGCTGATTTATAAAGGATGTCATTAAATGTAAAGTTATTGTCGCCCGGCGCCCGCTTGGCAACCGTCGGATTCACTCTTAAATCGCACAGGCGCCGTACGGACATTGGGCGGCGACCGCCCGATCCGTTTAATTCTTTCTGTAAAATCCATTTGGCAAAAATATCCCAACGACTGTTTCATTCATGACCACGCAAGGTATCAGATTTAAAATCGCCCGGGCGTCCACAACATCAAAAAATCTGCCGATTTTATAAAAATCGTTTAATCAGACGGCGCATATTTTATTTGTGACCTAGGCATTACGAGTTTCTGCCCTGACGTTTCCTCCTTGACGGTTCTCTCCCTATTTTGGGGGGGAGAAACGTCTGCATATTTGCAAATATGCATACAGTTACTCCACATTTTTATTTTTAATATGAAAAAAGGCAAAGCCTCAAAGCGAGCTCGATGTATTTTTAACTTTAAATAGTATGAAATAATCGCTCATTTTTATTTTAAAATTTCCGTTTTAAAATTGTCATTCGATATTTTATACACTGCTTCCATTTATTCTGGTTCCCTCCTATTAAATGAATATAATTAATGTATTTTGTCATTTGTGCTACGTGAATTACCTTAATTTACAGGAAGAAAGAAGGAATCAGCTCAACTGTTGTTTCAATGTTTGTAAACAAATGCATGCAGTGACGAGTGCGTGTGACGTCACACGTACTGTGTTAAATATGGCTTCGCCCCTTTATTTTTTCTGGGTTTTTTTCTTACACGTCAAGAAAACATATAATTATTATTAAATGTTGGATTTTTATGTCTGGGTGGTTAAATTTGTTTCCGATAGAAACGTTCTTTAGAGGCACTGTTCCAGTGGTATGAAAAATAAAGGCTGTTCTAGTGGTATGAAAAAAACTGTCGTTAAATCTTACGTGTGTAGAAACATTTTGAGAATAATGAATTTTGAAAACGTTGATAAAAGTTTTTTTGTTTATTTCAGTCTATGCGAAAGTCAAATTTTTTTTCAGGCCACAAGGACCGAGACCCTTAGGTTTATTTCCGGCCCGGATGATATTTTTCCGGCCCAGACATTTCAAGCATTATTTTATAATAACTCGGTTGAATGTAAAAATGATTGTCTTTCTTTAAATTAGTGAGACCATCAATATAGAAACATAAGAAGATGCTGACCAATTGAAATAACTTAAGCAGGGTTCTCACTAGGATTTTCAAAGGAGGAGTCCTTGGACTCCCAAGCACAGAAAAGTAGGAGCACAGATCACATTGAATATGTTAAGCCATCTTTGCTGCACTTATGCAGTTGACGAATATGATGTATATTAGCAGAGTAAGCTAAGGGTTGGAGAGTCGGAGTTTGAACAGAGAAAAAGCTTATTCAGGAAAATGGTAGTATGTCCCAAATGAAATACACTGTACCATAAAAGTGATTGAAAAGATTTAAAATATAATTTCAAGAACTCTACATCATCAGACCATTATGCTGTTTTCTTCCAGATTCACTCCACACACCCCCCTCCCATAAGAAAATATTCATTGTAATATGACAAACACATACTGGTAATGGCTCCATCTCAACTAATGTGAACAATAGCTTTAGTAATTTTAATTCTTAAACTACATTTAAGTGTTATTACACACATTTTAACAAAACAAAGTTTCCTTTTGGTTACGATTTTTTTATTATAAAAAGCGGCATCGCGAAAATATGTGACAATTGAAAATTTGTCTGTTTCCTGCAGAAACATTCACAATTCTACTTGTTGTTGGTTTTGATTACATTAGATTTAATATTTTTTGATTATTTTAAGATTGTTACTCATTGGCTATTTCAACAGGCATCATAAAACAAAATTTTCAAATCTGTAATTTACGGCAAAATTTACCGTTGTTGATTAAACTTTTTGAAGACAGAGTTGACTGGTATTTATTTGACAGGTACAAAATAGATCTAAGGTTGGTCAATATCTTCTTTAATAAATTCTTTGCATCACCGGGAACTTGTTATCAATCAGGTCATTGATATTTTAACTTTTTGAAATTTTATTCGGACATGAGGACTGACGGAAAGGAATTTTTCTCGGACCGCATGATTTTTATTCAGCGAGGACCGACGGACTTTCGCACAGACTGTTATTTTATTTCACTCTATAATTTTTCAAGTGAAATAAAGATTATTAAAAGTGAAATAAATGTAATACTTAACACGTTTGCGACATTAAAATAGCGTACTTGATTTGATTGTTTTGCACGTGCTGTTTGGCGCTACATTGTGACGTCATAAACAATACTTTAAACGTCTGTACAGCGTTAACGACTGAATAAAAGATATTGGTGTTCGGATTCATTTTCTTAGTAAGACCATTTTCTTTCATTCTAGATAGTTTTCACATCAAAATTCGACAAAAAATTGTTTGGATTTATCAGATTTTTCAAACAAAATGGCGCCCTCAATGTGAAAATACACAGGGAGATAATAAGAACGGCGAGTGCATTGTTGTCGGGCCTTCTTTGTTTATACGATAGTGTTAGAATGTTTTGTTTGTTAAAAAAAGAGGAGGTAAATGTACATTTAATGAAATCCGGCAAAACCTATGTACGGGAAAAGTCGGTTAAAATTTTCAAGTTCAATTTTCATTTTACATTTTCCGTTTTAAAACTGTCATTCCATATTTTATACACATCTTCCGTTATTCTTATTCCCTGTCCAATTATGGTTCCCATAGAAGTGCGCAGGTGACCAGTCTACACATCCGTTTTCAGTCAGAATTCCTCAGTTTTTATAATTCGAGGCCAGCTCGTTGAGCTCGCTATTATTGAAGTATTTAGATGTGTAATAAACATGATAAATGGGCAAGTTTATTATTATATTATTAGCGAGTTCGACGAGCTGGCCCAAAGGGCCTGCTCGCAAAGCGAGCTTTATGGTAACCCGAGTACCTGCTAAGTGATGGTTTAAGAAACTTTCGTCCGAAGTACCGAATTGGACACATCGCAACTTTTCCAATTACAAGATAACGATAAAAGCCGATGTACTCTGATTGAAAACCGAAACGTAGACTGGTGTACTGCGCACTTACATAGGAACCATAATAGAAAAGAGGAACCAGAATAAATGGAAGCAGTGTATAAAAAACCTAATGACAATTTTTAAACGGAAAATGTAAAATAAAAATTAACGATTATTTTAAACTAACTTACGGTAAAAGAAAATCGAGCTCGCTTTGAGGCTTTGCCTTTTCCATATTAGGTATAGAATTCTATATGTATTTTTTAATTGTTTTTTATTTGATTTTCTTTTAAATATACGCATGTAGTCTATAGCTTCGCGGGCCCAGCCTTTGACTTCCCTGTATTAATTAGAGGAAAACAAATATTTTATTGAAGTATTTAGATGTTTAATAAATGATGTTTAATAAGTTTATTATAAATTGATATAAATTAGCTTTAATGATTTAATGTCAAGCATAATGCATGTTCAGAATACATATAAACCAAATCTTTCTTTCACTTAGTAAATAAGTAAATTCATGTATATTGTACCGTAAAACAGAAACAAATAAATTGATGGTGTTCAACCTATCATCAGAGGGCTGCAAATATTTCCAAAATTATCCAAACTCCACACAGTGATTTGATTGGCTATGCTCTGTGATTGGCTATGCTCTGCATCAGAGTTTGATAAATCCCATCCGCCATTTTTTAGCTCACCTGTCACTTTGTGACAGGGTGAGCTTTTGTGATCACTTTTCGTCCGGCGTCAGTCCGTCCGTTGTCCGTAAACTTTTACTTTAAATGACATCTCCTCATAAACCTCTAAGCCAATTTCATCCAAACTTCACAGGAATGTTCCTTTGGTGGTCACCTTTGAAAATTGTTCAAAGAATTTAATTCCATGCAAACTCTGGTTGCCATGGCAACCAAAAGAAAAAAACTTTAAATGTCTTCTTCTAAAAAACCCATAGAGCTAGAGCTTAGATATTTGGCATGAAACATCTTCTAGTGGGTGTCTACCAAGTTTGAACAAATCAAAGCCCTGGGGTCAAAATTGGCCCCGCCCCAGGGGGTCATTGATTTTCCTTATATGTATATAATAAAAACTTGAAAAATCTTCTTTTAAAGAACCCAAAGAGCTAGAGCTAAGATATTAAGCATGAAATATCTTCTAATAGGTGTCTACCAAGTTTGTACAAATAAAAGCCCTAGGGTCAAAATTGGCCCCGCCCCAGGGGGTCATTGAATTTTCCTTTATGCATATAGTAAAATCTTAAAAATCTTCTTTTAAAGAACCCAAAGAGCTAGAGCTAAGATATTTAGCATGAAACATGTTCTAATGGATGTCTACCAAGTTTGTTCAAATAAGAGCCCTGGGGGTCAAAATTGGCCCCGCCCCAGGGGGTCATTGATTTTCCATATATGAATATAGTAAAAACTTAAAAATCTTCTTTTAAAGAACCCAAAGAGCTAGAGCTAATATATTTAGCATGAAACATGTTCTAATGGATGTCTACCAAGTTTGTTCAAATAAGAGCCCTGGGGTCAAAATTGGTCCCACCCCAGGGAACATTGATTTTCCTTATATGTGTATAGCAAAAACTTAAAAATCTTCATGGAAAAACCCGAATAGCTAGAGTTTAGATATTTAGCATGAAACATATTCTAGCGAGTGTCTACAAATATTGTTCAAATAAAAGCCCTGGGGTAAAAACTGGCCCTGCCCCAGGGGTGTCATTGTTTTTAAATATATGTGTAAAGAAAAAACTTAAAAACTCTTGTTTTAAAAAACCCAACAAGCTAGACCTTAGATGTTTAGCATGAAATATCTTCTAATAAGTGTCTACCAAGTTTGTTCAAATAAAAGCACTGAGGTTTAAACTGGCCCTGCTTCGGGGGGCCAATATACAGGTGAGCGACTTCAGGGCCATCATGGCCCTCTTGTTTTCTTTTTAATCTCTAATCACAGTTGCTGTTTTAACGTTATCTAAAATCAAGCATACAAAGAAACCTAGCTGTGAAAAATATACCTCCAAGGCTTTAAGCAATGCGTACTGGGAAGCTGTAATAAGTGTCACCTAGAACCCTGATAGATAACAGAACTTTTTCCTGACCAAGTGAATTAAAACAGTTAAATGCATGTATGTAATGAATGTATTAAGAACCAATCTCATGCCTCGACAAATCCACTCACCCGCCGGCATTTGTGAGTGAAATTTCAGGTCGGACGTGAAAAAAGTTTCATCAAACCCGCCCGACCGGGCAAGTGAGATTCTCCAGATCCAAAATCCAAAGTTTCCCTTAACATTTATAAAGGATGTTTTTCGGTAAACAATCCACCTGCAGAGGACTTTTCAATCGTAATATCTATTAAAGGAAGACCAAAAATCACATCCTGGCTCAAAGTACAAAACTTTACCGAATTGTTTGATGAATTCATTAATGCCTCCCCCTTCCCTAATGAGAACAGCATTTGACAATGCTTTGTACATACGAGTTTGGTAAAGTTTTATTCTTAGCAATAAGACGGATTCCGTAGCCGAGTGCGTTTAAATATGACTGAAATAAGTATTCAGGCTATGTCCAAGGTTATATATTAAAAGCATGAAAATTATAATGAACAGTATATAATTAATAAAGCCAGTTAAACTGATAATGACCAGTAAAAAATCAAAATTAATGTTAAGAACAATTAAAACAAAACAAAAATGTCATATCTTGCTTGTTATAAAAATTAAGGTATTAAGGTGTAGAACAATTTAAAACTTCCTCTGCTCTTTGTCTAAATTAAATATTTACCTTGGTTATAGGTTATTAAATTTCTTTACCAGTTTTTAGTTAAAAACGGATCGTCCCTTTTAATGGATAAACAATTGACAGCCCTACCAACAAGTAGGCCAGCTTAAAAACAAATTAGCCCTTAAACCTTAATTATGATTTTTGTAAAGATCAATAACAATTTTACTAACAATTTACAAAATTTACTTTTTCTTCATTCAGTTTATTAATTCTCCATATCACTGAATCCTTTATTTTGTAGCATTTTAAGTCATTTTGAAAAATTCCAGGATGTGATTATGTGACTTGTTCAAACGGAGTGTTCACTACATGTCATAATTGTGGCTTTTAAATGCCCCTTTAATTCTAATGAATTGAACAAAAGTGCCTTTCTTTTCATTCTGGGAACAAGCTAGGCATATAGTATAACAAGTTTATGTTTGATTAATTCCAGGCATTATCTATGATGTTATTGTAGAGCCACCTAGTATTGGTTCCACCACAGATGAAAGAGGGAATTCTAAACCTGTAAGTTCAATTATACATGATATTTAGCTCACTTTTAGCTCACCTGTCACAAAGTGACAGGGTGAGCTTTTGTGATCGCTTTTCGTCCAGCGTCCGTCCGGCGTCCGTCCATAAACTTTTGCTTTAAATGACATCTCCTCATAAACCACTGAGCCAATTTCATCCAAACTTCACAGGAATGTTCCTTTGGTGGTCACCTTTAAAAATTGTTCAAAGAATTTAATTCCATGCAGAACTCTGGTTGCCATGGCAACCGAAAGAAAAATCTTTAAATATCTTCTTTTAAACAACCCTAAGAGCTAGAGCTTAGATATTTGGCATGAAACATCTTCTAATGAGTGTCTACCAAGTTTGTTCAAATAAAAGCCCTGGGGTCAAAATTGGCCCCGCCCCGGGGGGTCATTGATTTTCCCTATATGCATATAGTAAAAACTTAAAAAATCTTCTTTTAAAGAACCGTAAGAGCTAGAGCTTAGATATTTGGCATAAAACATCTTCTAGTAAATGTCTACCAAGTTTGTTCAAATAAAAGCCCTGGGGTCAAAATTGGCCCCGCCCCAGGGGGTCATTGATTTTCCTTATATGCATATAGTAAAAACTTATAAAATCTTCTTTTAAAGAACCCAAAGAGCTAGAGCTAAGATATTTAGCATGAGACATGTTCTAATGGGTGTCTACCAAGTATGTTCAAATAAAAGCCCTGGGGTCAAAACTGGCCCCGCCCCGGGGGTCATTGATTTTCCTTATATACATATTAAGCATCTTTAAGTAAATATCTACAAAGTTTGTTCAAATAAAAGCCCAGGGGTCAAAACTGGCCCTGCCCGAGGGGTGTCATTGTTTTTAACTATATGTGTATAGTAAAAACTTAAAAAATCTTCTTTTAAAAAACCCAATGAGCTAGAACTTAGATGTTTTGCATGAAACATCTTCTTATGGGTGTCTACCAAGTCTGTTCAAATAAACAAATAAAAGCCCTTGGGTAAAAATTGGCCCGGGGGGGGGGCTATATATACAGGTGAGCGACCTCAGGGCCATCATGGCCCTCTTGTTTACTGTTGCTTTTTTTTTCCGGGGGGGGGGGGGGGGGGGGTGGGGTGTTCGGGTTCAGTTATCTTTGGATAGGATCTTTTTTGATAGACTTATGAATTAGAAATATTTTAGATTTTCCTAGTACAAACAAACTTACAGCATCATATTTGAAAATTAGTCACACAAGACTAATCTTTTGTAAATGGCACCATGTAGCTCAAATGGCAACAGGGAATTAGCTTGGAAAACCTGTTAGTGCCAGGTAATTGCCTACTAGGCTCTTTAATTCACAGTGTTGGATCTCGATCTAATTCATTTGTTGTGCCTCAGCTTCTCAATAAGCCAGTATTGACATAGATTTAAGTTCATAATTTCTTCAATTTTCAGGTAGCCTTTATGCCTTACAGAGTAAATGGTCAATATATTATGGAGGGATTAGCTTCTAGTTTCCTATTCACCCTCGGAGGGCTCGGTTTTGTTATTCTCGACCAGACAAATTCACCGGTGATGCCTAAGCTTAATAGGATACTGCTATTCTGTGTAGGATTTGCGTCCATTCTTATCTCATTCTTTATGTGCAGAGTTTTTATGAGAATGAAATTACCGTAAGTACTTTAGTTGTAATTTAAATTTTATCTAATTACATTAAAATGCAACTACTGCAATTGTACTGTTGTACATGTACATGTCTTCAACTTGCCAATATGGAATAATGTTTACAATATAGTACATCAGGCATGCAAAAACCCTTAGAGCTAGAGCTTAAATATTTAGCATGAAACATCTTCTAATTGGTGTCTACCAAGTTTGCTCAAATAAAGGCCCTGGGGTTAAAACATGGCCCACCTTGGGTCATTTGTAACTTATATGTGTATAGTAAAAACTTAAAAAACTTCTTTTAAAAAACCCAAAGAGCTAGAGTTTAGATAGTTAGCATGAAATATCTTCTAGTGACTGTCCACCAAGTTTGTTTGAATAAAAGTCCCTGGGTTAAAATTGACCAGCCCCGGCGACCTTTATACAGATGAGCGTTTTCAGGGCCATCATGGCCCTCTTGTTTTGAGTATGTAATAAAAAAAATATCACTATATCTTCATTCACTAGATTTTTCGAATGAGTTAAATGAAATTTCACATGTATAATGCAGGCCTCTGGAAAGCATAATATTATTTGACACAATCAGCATGAGATTCTACACTGACTTAAAGGCCCATTATGCATTAGAAATGCATTTTTTTTTCTCAAAAGATTTTTATATTTTGTGTACTTTCATAGTTTCCGAAAATTTACTCATGAGCCAATTATCTCAATCATCTTTTTCCTCTGTTGCATTTAGTCAATTTGTACATTTATAGTGATTCAGTATTTTATAATGGAAGTCAAAATTCTATTTTGTTGACATCTTGCTACTTTTATGACAAATAATGTAATACGCCCTACTTTTTAGCTCATCTGTCACAAAGTGATACGGTAGGCTTTTTTGTCGTCCGTCTGTTAACTTTTACTTTAAATGACATCTCCTATATAAACCGGAAAACCAACTTCACAGGAATGTTCCTTTGGTGGTCACCTTTAAAAATTGTTCAAAGAATCTAATTCCATACAGAACTCTGGTTGCCATGGCTACAGGAAGAAAAAACTGAAAAAAATCTTTTTAAAAAACCCAAAAGGCTTTGGCTAAGGTATTTGGCATGAAACATCTTCTAGTGAGTGTCTACAAAGTTGTTCAAATAAAAGCCCTGGGGTCAAAATTGGCCCCGTCCCCGGGGGTCATTGATTTTCCTTTATATGTACATTGTAAATAGGAAAAACTTAAAAGATCTTCCTTAAAAAACCCAATAACTAGAGCTTAGATATTAAGCATGGAACATCTTCTTGTGAGTGTCTACCAAGTTTGTTCAAATAAGAGTCCTGGGGTAATGTTCCAATTGGCCCTGCCCAAGGGGCTTGTTGATTTTCTTAATATGTGTATAGGGGAAAAATCTTTTTTTTTAAAAAACCAAAGAGCTAGAGCTAAGATATTAAGCATGAAAGATCTTCTAATGGGTGTTCACCAAGTTTATTCAAATAAAAGCCCTGGGGCAAAATTGGACCCGCCCAAGGGGCTTACTGATTTTCCCCTGTATGTGTATTTTAAACTTTACACCACACAGTATCTGTATGACTATAAATTGTATGTATACAATTTCATGTTAAATAAAAATTTTGTTATGTTATGACACTTTTAAAAACTTAAAAAATCTTTTTAAAAAACCCAAAGAGCTAGAGCTTAGATATTTGCATGAAATATCTTTTAGTGAGTGTCGACCAAGTTTGTTCAAATATAAGCCCTGAGGTCAAAATTGACCCCACCCAGTGGCCTGGAGTTATGGCCCTTTAATTATATATAAAGGAAACACTTTGATCCTAGATGTCATTTAGTATCACTAGGGTAATTAAGATTTTTTTTTTCATTAACACTTTTCACACAAATTTCTTGATTGTATTTTCCCAAATGGAAAGATTATTTTTGATTACTCAAACAAATACTAGTATACATTCGAGCGCAAATTCCCCACTTTTGTTGCTAAATATCCCCGCTTTTGGGGTGCTCTTGTTGAGTGATTTGGCTGTTTATAGAAATATTATGTATATTATATAATTATACAAATATGTCATATACAGAATTTGAAAGATATTGTCATATATTGTCATATTTTGTAAGACGTATTTGTATATAGGAAGAATTTGACATATATGGAATTAAGCTACTAATTATAGAAATATGTTACTATAATTAGAAATATGTTGCAATATTTAGAAATATTTGCTAAACATTGTTTCCATAATTTTATGGAAAGGTGATTAATTTAGAATTTTCTTTTTTGTTTCAGAGGTTACCTACAGTCATAGAGAAGTCTCCAAATATTATAGTACCATCAACTTATCTTAACAGCTTTAATATAATAAACATTTTGTAATAATTATGTAATAATTTGGAAAAAAAATTGTAGAAGAAAAAAAATGTTATCATTCAAATTGATCATAAAATTATATGAAGTAATCAATTTACGGTAGAACTTTAAAACTATGAATGCCTTCTAAACATTGAGTTAAAACTCAACATGGTTTAGTTTTGGTTTCAGGTTTTAAAGTTCAGCTGTTAAACCTTTACAAAAAGGGGGTCTGCCAAATGTACATGTCTGAATTGAACATACAGAGACACACAGAACTTTGTTTAGCTTCCTTGTGTGTCAAAAATAATGATGAGAATTTTCTTTTTTCATTATTCTATTACTATAATATATGACTTCCGTGTTTACATTATATAATATAAAGTAGATTATCATATGAAATTATGTTCAAATTGTTTAGAGATTTAAAAGAAGAAGAAGAAAATCTACATGTAAATTATTGGAATTTAACAATTAACTGGAACAACTTTTGTCAAATTTTAGTATATTTCAATTTAGCTTTGTTTTTATCATTTGTTTTGATCGGAAATTTTGTAGTTAGAATATTTTGTATGTTTTCTGGCTGTATGAGTAGAATGATAATTTAAGATTTGACTTTTCTCTTTATAAGATGATTGAATGTGAATGTTAAATTGTTTTTACATGGAGAATTCTTTATGTATAACAGTATATAATGTAGAAAAAAATAAAGATATGTTTTATAATAAAGCTTTGTTATTTCTTGTAGCAGTGATAATTGCTACTTAACTGCAGAAGTTAGTGGGTTTGATTGATCTATGGTTGAGTTTTACAAGATGTAAGAAACAATTCACTCTTGCCTGGAGATTATCACCAGAAATGTCAATAATGAATAAAAGCTTTGATCACCAGGTCAAATCAAAGGAAAACCTTGGTAACATTTGTGATTTGATCTCCGTTAAAATGTCAGAATTTGTATCAATGTAATATACATGCGAGTTTGAATATAGGTTAACTCTTAATCCAAAAGTAGGTCACTAGGTAAAAATCGAAACCTTGTACACACTCTAGAGGTCACATTTTTGATTTGATAATGTTTGTTTTATTGATATCTTAAATAAGTTCGAATTTAAGTTATCTCTTGACGAAAACTATTCATTATCAAAAATATTTTAACACCCATGGGGTCACAATTTAGATCTGACCCTTATTTGCGGTCAAAACTCTAGTTATTGTATCAATGATATACTGGTCGTCTTTGGTCAAATACAAGGTCTTGTAAAATAAAACCTGAGCAATTAGACTAAGATGACAACTGGAGTTGTCTCTCAAATCCATGTTAGAGTTGAATTCGGAGTGTCTTTACCATAAGCGCTGTTCACATACTCCAGGTCCTTATCAACCACAGGAGATTCAACACAAAGAATGAACCGGTGGTAACCCTACCATTCGCGTTTTCAAAATAATTTACTTCAAACGTTTTCCTTTGAATCCGCCAGTTGTCTCCTGACTTCAGAACTGCCAACTGGCGTTCTGCAATAAACAATTAGTACTGCCTCCTGCACCCAACATATATGTTATCTAAGCGTGGTCACCTGAACAGACCTTAATAAGGGCGTTCCCTCGAATTGAACTTTTATCCTGAATTACAAATTTGCGTTGTAATATGACCTTCTTTGTTGGGGCGACGTCCAACCCATAACAAATCAATTTACGTTGTCCCCTTTTTTCCTACCCATTGCCTCATCTCTTTTATTCGGCTTTAATGCCTTGAATCCGCCATTAATGTCATTTGTCCGCCATTTGCATTGTCTCGTGTGAATCAACCTTTAAGGTAGTCACCATAATCCAGTATTGCCTTTCTATCAATTGTAATTTGTATAATCAACTTTATACTGATTGTCCGCAGACTACACCACTGTTGTCTTTCCTTGAACCCATCTTTGGCCTTTCTTGCCACCTGAGTCAACAATAAGCATTGTCTAAGAAATCCACCATTGACATTAGCATGAATCTACTATTGCGAAAAAAGCATTGGCATAAAACACACCATTGTCGTGTTGGCTGAAACCACCATAAGCAGCTTCCCTTTTACGAATGGCGTTGTCACATGATTCCACAATTAGCATTGTACATAGAATCAAACTTTTTTGTAATCATGCCCTAAATTCGCCTAAGCGTCACTTTCCTCTACAACCTATTTGAATGGTAGTCTCATAAGTCTGATATTAGAAATGTCCCTTAAATTCAAAATTAAGAAATTCAATATTCTCCTCATCCACTATTGGCTCTACTAAAACTAAAAGGTCTAATACGCCTTCCCGATTTATCGATCCGGATGATAAATCTTGCATTATTGCTTTCAAATTTCTCTGCATGTAGATTTTTAAAACAACAATGCACGCAAAAAAATCCTCAACTTCATTTCAGTATTGTGGGGAAAAAGTCGGGCAATAGATTAAATAATGACATTCTTAATGACTGGCCTGGAAGATGTGAACTTGCATGCCTAAGATAACTAAAATCCCATGATGAATTTATATACAAGCGTCAGCTTCTGTTTTTGACTGCATGTACTCTTGAGTTTTTATTTCTCTTCTCACTGCATAATGTTACGTCCGGGAAGAAATCTATATACTTTAAACATTATCAAAACTCATTTTAAGATGATTTAGGTCTAAAAAAGACCTTTACCAATGGCATCTAGATCTATATTTAATGCAAAAATAACGTGATAATCTACTAAGTGACGTTCAAGTTAGAACTAAAAAGAGTTGAAACTTGAAAGTAGATATTCAAGTCTAATGTGTAATTCACACTGAGTTTAGTTTATAGATAATAAGGTAAAGGGATGTGAATTATTGGAGCATCAAATACGTGCCATTTAGAATAAAATGCCATTTTTATTGGTATGAGTAAATTGCAATCAAAAATAAAACAGTAACAATTCATATAAATAAATTTGTACAAAAACTGAAGCAAGAGATAAAAATTGTAATGGCACATTATAAATAAAATAAGAAAATAATAACCCAAACAATAAATTCCAAAATAATACAATACAATGCATGTCATTCAGCTTCAGCTTTAAGATTACCGCCTCCGTGGTCGGGGGTTAGAGTCGATGACTTCCAATCCAGTTACCTCTCTGGCGTGGGTTCGATCCCCGGGAGATGCTTTGGTAGTTTAGCGCGGAGGAAGGTTGTCTAGTACTGGTGTAACTCTCCAGGAACGATGGTTAGGAAACTACCCGCCTATATAACTGAAATACTGTTGGGAAAAAGAGTAAAATGAAACAAACAAACAAACAAATCAGCTTTAAGCTTAAAAAGATTCTACACAGATTTAGATATAGAATCGTGAACAGTAAACATCTAAAATGTTGAACAAAAATGGAAACCTTAAAGGTTCGAATAAAGCAGAAATGAAATGTGTTGCAAATAAAGCTTAAAATAATCAATTTTTTAATGCAGATGAAACTGCATTGCCAGACTACTAATAATATACACAATTCATTTAATTTACTTATAGACTTAAGTGTCTTGCAACAACATTCAGCACAGATACATGATATTGTAAAATTCAAAATAGTCATGAACAGAAAAAATTTAAAATGTAGAAAAAAATGGAATCCTTAAAGGTTCGAATCAAGCAAAAATGAAAATTGTTTTCCATTTATCAATTTTTAATGGCAGTTGAAATTGCAATTCCAAAGTAATAACAAATAACGGAATACGTTTATTTTAGCTTTTAAAGTTCTAGCAACAACAATCAACGCAAATACATGATATTGTTAAGTTAAAAAAAATAAACAGAAAAAGTCTAATATGTAGAAAAAAGGAAACCTAAAAGGTTCGAATCAAGCAGGAATAAAAATTGTTTTCAAATAAAGAGTAAAATAATTAATTTTTAAATGCAGTTGAAACTGCAATTCCAAAGTAGTAACAAAAACAACACACTATATTTCATTTAGCTTTAAACTAATTAAGTGTCTAGCATCCACATACAGCACAGATACGTGATATTGTATAATTCTAAAATAAGTGAACAGAAAAAAAATAACATGTAGAAAAAAATGAACGTTAATGATATTCGAGTCAGGCAGAAATGAAAATTGTTGCAAATAAAACTTGAAATAATCATTTTATAAAGGTTGTCGGTTCTAGTTTAGTTTTCATGTTTTTTTTTTTGAAAAATTCAAGGCCCATAAAGGGCATCGGACAAATAACATATAACAACCACATGATTAACAAAAAAAATATAACAAAACAACAAATAAGAATATCATTTTCAGTTTGTGGGGGAGAATAATGAAATACAATGGGACTAGAAAGTGATATGAAAAATAACATAAATATAACTTTCACAAAGTTAATCTATTGTCAAAGTAATAAGGTTAGTAAGTGTAATAGCAATAGAAAAGTTGGTTTAAAAATATTTATTCAACATAACATTTAGCATGTGAACAATATTTATAAAATACATTTTGGGATTGGGCAGAAAGCAATAAAGGTTATGAGTGTCCATTCCAAAATACTATGTTAAAAACGTAGCTTCTTAAAATTTCTCCCTAATATCATAAAGCGGCAAAATTTTCTGTTGGTAATGCAAACCATCTATTGCTGATTTTGTAATGTTTGCAATTGGTAAAATTATAGTGAATTGGTATTTTGTATGTAAGTCGAAATATACTACTTTTCTTTACATTTTGCCACCTTTACAATATATTACTACATGTTTATCACTATTTTCCTCAGGAGATAAACACCTTACATGCTCTTAATCCATTAATTATCAAATTAAAAAAAATAAATAAGAAATATGGATTCCTGAGCTGCATAACAATTGTCAAAATTTTCAAATATCAAATATGAGCATAATATATATATCTTTAATTTTTTATTTTATCCGATTCAGTTTACTCAAACATAAAGAATCCAAAACATCTAACTCAGTCAGGACCCAGTTGTTCCAAACATTGGTTAGTGATACCCAACGGACAAAATCATTATCTAATGGCTAAAAATTGTCAGTTGGATAAAGTCTGTCGAAGTACAAAGGCTTACGTGATTGCCATCAGCAGACCTTTTGGCTGCGTTGATATGACAAATGAAGAATTTGAAATATGCAATTTTTCTTGTGTCGATACGAAGGCGATTTCAACACCCATGACAAGCATCGCCGTGGTCCTAAGAAAAAAAATGAGTAAAAGATACACAAAAATTTAGAAAACTATGTGTAAATATAAATATGGTATGTATTGTTTAACATATTGCTTGAGTAAATGACACAGTTTGACATGGTGAAGTTGATAGGTGCATAGGTGCATATGAAATTCTGGGCTAGACTTGATTGCTTCTTAAATAACGTATGTCACTTGTCGTCTGATAGACAAGAAATGAATTTTTTTGGGGTACTTTTACTCGTTCACATTTTTTATCACTTTACCCATGTAAAATACAATGCAATATGAAATGGTCATGTTATCTTGCAATATAAAAGAGTCATGAGATCTTGAACGTGTACAGGACTCTAGGTAAGAATGTCACGAAGCGCGAGAGCTTGTTTTGTTTCATGTCGCGCCAACACAATTTAGGTCATGGAAAGCGCCGAGTGTAGTTCGTTCTGGTACAGTCCATGGGAGCCAAATACAAGTAAAATGAAAAACTTCTTTCCTTCAATAACCCTTTTATTACATACTCTGACCAATTTAAATCAACAAAGAAGGGCGACATTCAATGGATGCATCCCCCAACACAGGACAACCGGCAAAGTGCCCAGCAGGACACCAAACAGGACAGGACACACGGGCAAAGTAAACGGACGGAATGTCTTTATAAAACAGTATAGTTGTCAACAAAAACGTAATTGAAATTTCACCAGCAATATTAATCCGGAACACTACCCAGAGTGATATATACATTCCTACTCTCAGATCGTATTTGTGCTTCTGATACACGATTTAATATAGAAAAAATGTACAGGTATTTAATAAAAACACATGCTACCTAGTCCCGAATCACAAATTCCTGATCTTCAATCTGTGACCGTACACTACTAGCAAGCTCGCCATGGACGAATTCTATGAAATGAAAGAAACACATTATCTAAAACTAAATAACTCACTAAATGTACCTAAAGAACAATCAAGTCAAAATCAAACCAATTTAACTTTCAGACTCGGTCCTATCAAGTCTGGGCATGAGACATAACATATCACATGCCTTGAAGGCATTGCCTTCCCTCCAGCACCGGCTTTTAAAGCGTTATTTATCCATATTTACTTAGTTTAACACTATGAAGTTTTCCTATCCGATAACTAACAAATGACTGCGAAGTTAGTGAGTGATCAAATTAGTGTCCATACGCTGCAAATGTGTTTGTTCTAATTTTGTCGTGCCTTGTGCGTGTGAGATGTTAGGGTGAGAGGGTGCATTAAGATCAAACATTAAGGAGTCATAATGATGGCATAATTAGTTTCATCATACACAAACTTGTATATAAATTAAAAAATTGTTATGTTACCTAAATTTTCAGAATCGTTTTCTGACCGCTCCCTTGGTTTCAAATGACCTCGTTGACCTTTAAACCCACCATTAGATTCACAGTAGTCTAGAAAACTTTAACAGAAAGATTAGTTTTAGACTGTTAAATAAAAGAAAATATAATTTTAAGGTTAGTGACGAATCACAATAAAGTCCACTGCGGATACAACGAGACCGTCGGGACTTCGCATGGTTCCTCATTATAACTGGGTCTCGTGTAGATAAAATCTTTAGAAATAAATCGTTGGATCATGAAATAACGTTAAAATACGTTAAAGGGACTCCACTGAGATTTAAAAACCTAAAAACATAACATTTGAATTTCTCACATAGATGAGCGGGGGCACTTTAAACAGAAATATGTGCAAAGATAGTTAAGAAATATACTTTAAAATAAATTGAAAATCGTATTTTTATGCTTTTCTTAGCCCGATTTAAGTGAAAAGCGTTTAAATGCTTTTCATTTTGGGTCACTTTTTTACAATTTGAATAATTATTCTGAAAAAAATACGAAGTGCGCAAATGATCTGAAATTTTGCAAAAAGATTAGTGGTCTAAACCTACATCAAATGATACATTTATCTGGAAAAAATATTTTCCGTCCGATCATGTCATAAAACCTCAGTGGTGTCCCTTTAGTAAAAGAAATCATATATGCGGCTTAATTTTGAATGATGTTGTTAAATAATCCAAAGCTTTTTCATGGTCTGTTTGTTAATTATTCAGCGAATAAAAATAATTAAATGTTGATCCATTTGATATAATAATTTAGTAATACCAATTACAGAGATAACACGTTCGAATATCATTACACTTAAATTTGATCATTGAAGAAAAGGCACGAAATTCACAATTAATAGCAGCAGATACATCATTTTGGTTAAAACAAACTTATCACCAAGCATAAGATCGAATGGAAACAACATATACATGTACTTCTACCGTTCATAAATTCTATACAAAATATTTCATTTGATATCATTTTACAATTGAAGGCGTGAAACATAATGAAGTATTCACAATACTTACTTTATGATATACGGAAGAGCATTAGTGCCAGGTGTATGCTTTTTATTAACTCGAAATTTCGAGTTACTTATCTCGAAATTTCGAGTTACTAACTCGAAATTTCGACTTACTAACTCGAAATTTCGACTTAGTAACTCGAAATTTCGACTTACTAACTCGAAATTTCGACTTACTTATCTCGAAATTTCGAGTTACTAACTCGAAATTTCGACTTACTAACTCGAAATTTCGACTTACATTGAACGACTTTCATTGGTTGCCGGTGAAAGCAAGGATTGAATTCAAGATACTTTCTTTCGTGTGTAGCTGTTGCACATTGACAGAGCACCTTTAACATTTATTTAACAGAACAATTTTGTAGGGTCAAAGTGTCCACACATACTGAACATATCCTTCGCTTTTTTTGTGGAGGGGGAGGGGGGGGGTTGTAAAATCACACTTTCCACATTTCCGTGTAAACCGGGTGTTTCTTTTTCTTAAGCACACATACAACCATCATGTGGAGAAACAACAAGTCCAAAACCCACCCTATTGTAAACTGTGCAATATCATGTGTTAAATAAGTTTTAAATGGCGTGTATACGCCAGTTAGTCTGTCACGTTTCTTTATACTAATAATGTTTTTGTAACATTTATTTATTCATTATTTACTAATACTTTGATTCATATTGTGTTGATAAAAGTTGATAAAAGTGATACTTGTTGTTATATATATGTTGGGAATAATATAAAAGCATCCGATTTTACAAGAAATATAGTCAGTCCAACAATTTTGACAAAGGCCTCAGCACGCCCTATTTTGGCCACGCCGCGATACTTTCCTCAGATGTCCCACACGTGAAGTATAAGATCGGTTTTTTTACAGGGATGAGAAGAATATGATTAGTGAAAAGATATGTTCGAACAGATGGGATACAATACAACATCTGAAGAACGCCTGAACGTATAAATTAAAGGAAGCCTTGTATTTTTTAGGTCGGGTGTGTACATGCCATTACTAAGTTTAAGTTAAAGTTCAATAGTTTTTGTCCAGGCACCCGTTCCTCCATCTCTGTAATCGTTCAAAGGCACTGCCTACTATATCTTATACCATCTAACTAATAACTTTGGTCATTCTTGTAATGTTAATAAGTCGAAATTTCGAGTTAGTAAGTCGTAATTTCGAGTTAGTAAGTCGAAATTTCGAGATAAGTAACTCGAAATTTCGAGTTAGTAAGTCGAAACTTCGAGTTAGAAAGTCGAAATTTCGAGTTAGTAAGTCGAAATTTCGAGATAAGTAACTCGAAATTTCGAGTTAGTAAGTCGAAATTTCGAGTTAGAAAGTCGAAATTTCGAGTTAGTAAGTCGAAATTTCGAGTTAGTAAGTCGAAATTTCGAGTTAGTAAGTCGAAATTTCGAGATAAGTAACTCGAAATTTCGAGTTAGTAAGTCGAAATTTCGAGTTAGTAAGTCGAAATTTCGAGATAAGTAAGTCGAAATTTCGAGTTAGTAACTCGAAATTTCGAGTTAGTAACTCGAAATTTCGAGTCAATAAAAAACATACACCTGGCACTAATGCTCTTCCGTAATGATACCTAAATACTACTTTTTATTACATTTGACCTACCTCTTCCAGTTGTCATCTTTTACCAATATCATTGGATTACCAATTACAACAAGAAGCGATCTAGCTCTAGTCAATGCAACATTAAAACGCTGAAAAAAGGGTATTAAAGGTTTTTTACACGCAGATAAATAATATCCTATTAAAAATCGGAAATATTTTTATTACACAATCATAATGTACAGTCCTTTGACGGGAAGATCTGTCGAAAGAACAGAAAAACAAAGATAACAACAAATACTGTACACGATGTTGAAAATCGCACAAGGTAATGTAAAGTGCAATATTTCTGACGCCCCACCCCCTAGCACAGGCTTAAACGGTTTGTCCTCATAACTAAAGATATCAATGATACCAAAGAAGCAGAATGTATATCAACAAGATACAGTACGGTAAGTCAAACTATTCATTGTCTTTCAACATTGAACAAAATCTGCTCTGGTGTCCGATTTCTAGTTAACAAGTCAAAGGTGAGGATGTAAATGATTCAATAAACAACGCTTTTAGTTTGCACTAGATGGCATAGTGGGGTTCTAGTAATTAATTTAAACATTTATCTGTTGCCTTTTGAATTTATTTAATGACAAACACATATTGTATTTTGGGGAAAAAGATGTAAATTAACTTTTTATTCAGAGATTACCAACAATTAAAATATTAATAAAATAAGCGGGCGAGATCCATTTTTCTGAATAATGTCTAAAAACTACATTAGTATCGGTATATCGGCTATAATTCTTTATACTATGTTTAATTATACCTTTGGGTTTTTAACAAAACCGAGACGATGTTCAACGTCCTTCTGGACATAGTGTTGGTTGCTTCGTACAGTTGATATGATGATGACCTTGAACTCTTGACCTTGAAACTCCTCTACCGAGCCTATCATAATCTTCTCTTGATTGACATCAAAATTCTTCTTTTGAATCATTCTCGTATCTTTGCCACCTTATCAAAATATAAAGCTTAAACCAATAGAAGTAAGTACTACTAATAAAAACACACGATTCTACTCGTAATTGTACATTTTAAGTTTCCACTATGAATATCAGGAAAAACGTGATACCTCCAAAGCATTAAAATCAGCAAATTTACATGAAAATTAATGACGCGTTTGATTGAGTCTGTACATGACGGATAATGGAATGTGCAAAATGCCTCACGCCCCCTAGCACCGGCTTTAGCGGTTCTCAATTTTCAACACTTACAATCATTGATCCCGGAGGACCAAAAAAAATATAAAAACACAAAGTATGAAATATAAAGTTGTAAAACCAGTGCATCTTCAGATCACGCTGTTTTCATGATCGTTTGAAAATTGTTGCCAATAGAAACAGTTACCAACTGTAATAATTAAAATTTAAACGAAACTTAGAATTCCCATAAATCATCAACAGGCCTACAAGAAAGCATCATCGCTGACAGATTCCATGAATAATTGGATAAAATATTCAAGTCTGTCAGATTTTGACAACATCATTCGAAGTGTCCGTTAGATTGATGATATTTATACTCAGTTATATTATTCTTCAGGAGATTTCTTGTTTTAATTAGTCTTTCATCACTGGGAGGGATGCAGATTGAAATGAGCACGAAGATCGGAAAGCTGAATGAAAACGTGTTAAGGAGTATGAAAATAAATATATTAAAACATCTATTCTTATCTTTAATTCAGGGATGTTTTTCACTTATGCAATATTGTCGACTTTACCTGTTTTCTGTAAGGCGATATGATGCCAATATCTTTTGTCCTAATTTTAAGACCACCTCTGCTTTCCTTCAGTAAAAGCGCTAGGTATTTTTCCACTTGAGAAACTTCGTCCCTGTAAGTTGTAATAAATTGATATTATTGACGCCAAATTCTACGTATTTAGCTTTATCACATAAACAGTGGCGCAGGAGTGTAATAAAGCCATTCAATAAAAGCGATATTACATTAGTGTAATGACACTTTGACGTGACGTCATTTGCGCTATATAGAAACATAGCGTTTAAGGTAGCTCGCTACTTTCCGACCGAAATTTGACAATATCTCAGATCTTGATGATTTTTGGTATACAGACATGTAGATATGTAAGATTTACTTCTACAGCATTATTTTATAGATAAACAGCGTTACTATGACGTCAAAGCGCCCTCTATTGGTGGCGGCGAAATTGCGTCTTTTTATCAATAAACCGGTCTGTTCTTATCAATTTTCATCCGATTTCCTTCATTTTAATTTATAATGTTCAGTAAATGTATGTCTTTGTAACGATGTCTTTCTTGAACATTTGCTTAATACTCTGCGAGTCTACGTTATTTTCCCTCACGTTCTGACGTCCATATTTGATGCAAATATCGCGCGATATCACAATAAAGATTGTGAAATAATAAAAAATCAACACGGTGAATTTTGCTTTATTTTTTTAACATGTAGTGAAGTCATTAAAGAAAATCATTATGCAATAAAAATATGGGGTCAACGCGTAAGATATTTTGCTATTACTATTTGAATATAAAATAAAGGGTGAGTAAAACGTAATGAATTTGGTGACGTCAAATATTTTTCTCAAGGAAATTTTCACGACTTTTTCGATAAATATCATACTGACAGGAATAAAAATGTGTGAAAACCATCAACAACAATAGTATTTAGACATGTTCCGTAAAAATGTTTTTTTAAAAGTCCTGTCAGATGCCTGCATTTCGATGAATATCTTCAATTATATACATGTACAACAAATCAGGGTATAACTGTCTGCAAAAGTTGGTATCAATCTCTGAAAAACTGCAACGAATGGATATAAATACCTCGAGGACTGAAAGACAATTCAGAATATTGAAAGATATAATTAAAAGGCCACCTAAGTGGAAATTATAAAAACATAAATTTTGCAAAGAATGTCAGAAAAAAAGAATGAAAAGGCTGGTGCAGTCGCAATGTCATCATGTTATGTGTATGTCGGTACAACATAAACTTCCATGTTATCATATGTAACAATTTTGAATTGTATAATTTTTATATCAGTTAGTAGGAACAGAGACATAAATAACATCTATGTCTCTGGTAGGAAATGAATGAAATTTACGTTTCAAAAATATATGATCAACTGGAAGTAGCAACGATTTGTACGTACGTCATGATTCACTGGTAGTCTTAATTATATTATAAAATCTAGCAGACATTTAATTCATAAAATTGCATTATGTGCAGACAAAAAACGAGCTTCTCCCACAACCATAATCACACAAATTGAGAATCCTACATAATTGCCTTCAGTACAAGGGAATCTGTATTTAATATGCAAAATTCTCCGCTTCTGAACACACAAAATAAATCAACGGATATTTCGCCTCTAATCAAAAAATGATCGCGGCTTCAGGTCCCCTCAAAGATGCGCTAGTAAATGCATACCGCGAGTCAGCTAGTTTAAAATAAAGAAGAATATCTGTAATTATGTGAAATACGTGAGAAATTCAAGCCATAGCATGAGAGCGTGATTCCTGCTTTAAATCTGAGTCTCACGCTTAGTGCTGGGTATTAAGCTGCGAGAGAAAATATATAACTGATGGCTGTTAATAAATAAATTTAATACATGTAGAAATTTTTGAATTAAATGTCTGCTAGATTTTATAATATAATTAAGACTACCAGTGAATCATGACGTACGTACAAATCGTTGCTACTTCCAGTTGATCATATATTTTTGAAACGTAAATTTGATTCATTTCCTACCAGAGACATAGATGTTATCTATGTCTCTGTTCCTACTAACTAATATAAAAATTATACAATTCAAAATTGTTACATATGATAACATGGAAGTTTATGTTGTACCGACATACACATAACATGATGACATTGCGACTGCAACAGCCTTTTCATTCTTTTTTTCTGACATTCTTTGCAAAATTTATGTTTTTATAATTTCCACTTAGGTGGCCTTTTAATTATATTTTTCAATATTCTGAATTGTCTTTCAGTCCTCGAGGTATTTATATCCATTCGTTGCAGTTTTTCAGAGATTGATACCAACTTGTGCAGACAGTTTTAACCTGATTTGTTGTACATGTATATATAATTGAAGATATTCATCGAAATGCAGGCATCTGACAGGACTTTTAAAAAAACATTTTTACGGAACATGTCTAAATACTTTTGTTGTTGATGGTTTTCACACATTTTTATTCCTGTCAGTATGATATTATCGAAAAAGTCGTGAAAATTTCCTTGAGAAAAATATTTGACGTCACCAAATTCATTACGTTTACTCACCCTTTATTTTATATTCAAATAGTAATAGCAAAATATCTTACCCGTTGACCCTATATTTTTATTGCATAATGATTTTCTTTAATGACTTCACTACATGTTAAAAAAAATATAGCAAAATTCACCGTGTTGATTTTTTATTATTTCACAATCTTTATTGTGATATCGCGCGATATTTGCATCAAATATGGACGTCAGAACGTGAGGGAAAATAACGTAGAATCGCAGACTATTAAGCAAATGTTCAAGAAAGACATCGTTACAAAGGCATACATTTACTGAACATTATAAATTAAAATGAAGGAATTCGGATGAAAATTGATAAGAACAGACCGGTTTATTGATAAAAAAGACGCAATTTCGCCGCCACCAATAGAGGGCGCTTTGACGTCATAGTGACGCTGTTTATCTATAAAATAATGCTGTAGAAGTAAATCTTACATATCTACATGTCTGTATACCAAAAATCATCAAGATCTGAGATATTGTCAAATTTCGGTCGGAAAGTAGCGAGCTACCTTAAGTGCGCTAATGTTAGCGTTACACTATAGTCTTAATTGTCATTGAAAAATTACTCATGTTTTCCAGTTTACTGTTCTTATTTTCTATATGCGATAGATAGAATATTACATTCGTGTAGATTCAATACTAAATTTATTGAACTCGTTGAATAAAACAATATTATGCTCGCCAGAGGCTCGCATAGTACGATTTTATTCAACTCGTTCAATAAATTTAGTATTAAACTACACTCATATCCTCTATCTATATATAACTCTTGAAAGACATCATATTATTGACGCCAGTTACGTATTTAGTTAAATATAACGCCTGTAAGATATAATATTATTGACGCCAATTACGTATTTAGACATTTAAATATACTAGTTGAATCTTCCAATTCATTTCCTTAAATTTTAATAATTCTTTGAAATTGTGATGTAATTCAAATAAAATTTTCAGAAATGTTTTACAGGATGCAATCTTATTAATTACATGTGTATCGATAAAATATGTCAACTAATTAATTTCATAGTTAGCTATAGTTCGGCTGTTTCAGGCTTGGGCGCTTTTACGATTTTCGCTTTCAAATTAGTAAGTTCTACTTTATTGAAGTTAATTTATTATTTTGGCAATTTTTTTGTTATCATAAAGTTCCTAGCAATACAAGAAAACTGCGCACAGAAAATCGCATAATTCTAGCTTGTAATAAACGGCATGCGGTGTTTCGAGTCCTTAATTTGAACGTAATATGTTGTTTTTTGTTTGTTTGTTTTTTTTGTTTGTTTCTGTTTTTATAAAAAAGCTGCGTGAAGTTTATCTTAGCAATGCGTATTGACTTAAAATTAAGTCTGATATATTCAGAATTTTTTATTGAAAAGATGGATTAAAATGAATTAGGTATTAATCTGATTAAAATCAGCTCCTTATTAACGATAGGAAATGGCGAGCATCAATAACAGATCACCTTTTTTGGACCTTTCAAACAGTCAATCATCGACGAGCTTCCACAATTTCTAACTTTAACCGCTGGAAAACCATGCAATACAATTTTCACGATTTCGAGAACAGATATGGCGTTGTAACATATAATATTCAAATAACAATGTGTAATTTTAAAGAGGTTATGAACATTACTTACTTAACAAACAGGTAGTTTGATATGTTTCACATTCTAGATTATAAAATTTCATGTAGAATCCTCTTATTTTGTTAAGCAAAGTTAAAGATATGATAATTATGAGTGTGGCACATGATGATTTAATTATTTACATTAACAACAACTAGCATTCCATTTGCGTATTAGAAATATAAAAGTTTGTCATGCACTTATTCACGATGACTCTGTATATAACACTAAAATATTTGATAATATCAGGTACGTGATTTATAGGTCCATTGGGTCGGGTTTAAATGTTTTAACCTAAATCTTAAGATATGTTTCACCCCTATAAGATGTAACACAAGTAACATACCTGTTGAAAAATGAAGGGCTCCCCGACTCCCGTTCATCAGCACCAAATACCGAATGAAATATAATCGGAAAGCCTCTTTTAGCCAAATGATCCCAACGCAACATGGAATCAAGAATCATTCTGTCTCCGCATGCCTCTAACTCCCCGTCGTAAAACAAGTCACGTGGTACACTAATAATAGCATCATGTGAGCGATAGTTGCGAACAAGTTTTGTAACGAAGCGTTCATTGTACCCCGAAGAGTCACATCTCTGGTACTCCGGAATTGTATTCATCAATCGCTCCAAAATAGAAGTTTCTACATCATAACAATAGGATACATTGATGTATTACTGCTAATAGTATTATATACCAATGGAATACAAATGATCAATTAAAGCATTGCTGGAGCCCAAACTGGAAATCTTTAAACTAGCACTAGTATTGACGCTACAGGGCCTTCTTTTTGTACAGTCTGTCTGGGACCTCAACAACTGTTTTGTGTGATTTCATTTAAATTGATATTGACTTATATAAAATGAAATTTTGAACAAGAACTTTTGATTGTTTCTCTTTTTGCATTTAAATGCGTATACCAAGCCCAGTTTTGCTCCAAAGGATGATAATTAGTTTTATATATAATTTTCATAAAAAAGCAATAAAACAGAAAACGATGAATATATGAGTGAAAAAGTTCCTCTCAAACGACGCCGAAACTAACCTGAAGTTAACCGAATTTTAAAAGATATACAGGTTATATGATCAAATTTGATATCAGAAAATTTTAATAATTGCTGGACAGTCTTTATGTTAATATTAAATGATTATTTATTTTATTCACACAAAGTAAATAATTTATGTAATGTTTTAAATTCTGCACACAATAGATTATCTCTGTATGATTATATATAGTGTCATCAAAAAGCTTGCAGTCTTTTAGGAAAGCACCAACTTTACTTACCCTGTAATAGATAGGGAAGCAATTTTACATATACAGTTTATTCATTATTTTATTCAAATTAGACATATTTAGTCAGACTATCACATATTTCAATAAAATTATGTGATTAACATATTTTACTCAAGGATGAGCATAGTATATCTTTAAGTGTTTAATATTTGAAAGTAGAAAAAGTAATGGTTCATTAAAATTTAATGCTCTCTCTTTATACAGAGAGGAGGACAGGGGTCCGGGTGAGGATATATATAAAAATCTGGAAACAAAGTGATCCTTCGGAAGCATTTATCACAACAAAATTACATGAAAATTGCAGACTCGGTTTGATTGAGGCTGTACAAGAGGGATAATGGATTGGATAAGTGCAACATCCCTCATGCTGTGCTTTTTATCTTTCCTGATGATAATAGCGGGTTACAATATTTGTTCAAATTCCTGTCTGCAAGTACATCTTTTTGTCACTAGAAAAAGTGCGTGTTTATGTCTTTATGTGCTTACCTCCCAACTGTGCTTAGTGTCATTACGAGAATTTTGAATTTCTTCAGCTCAGATACAGCTGGATAAATAAAATCTCTTTCTTCACGGTCAAAGTTGAGCTGTTTCGAATCCATGATTTCTTTAGGAATAGTAATTAATGGTCTAGACACGGCATACAGTCTATAGATGTCATTCTTCTTTATTGTGCCAGGTTGGTTTGGGTTGATAAGTTTCTTCATTAAGAAGTCGGCGGCAGTGTTTTCTGGACAACACGCTAATATCCGTGCCTCGGGTTGGCTATGATATATCTTCAAGAAATTCAACAGATTTTTTTTGAAAATTAAGAAAAAGAGATTGTGTAAGACTTTCTTCCGTAAAGACATAGTTCTAGAACCAAAACAAATATTAATATTTTTACTTCATGTTATAGATCAAAGCCATACATCAATCATCAAGGTTGCTCTGTCCCCTTTTATGGGTCTCTAGGGCTAAACATAGAAAACCCTTTAAACATCTTCTTCTTCAGAACTAAATGATGGATGATCACCAAACTTTGCACGTGGCATTCTTGGATAGTCTTTTATCAAGTTTGCTCATATTAATTACGTATGTAAATATTGCATATAGACATAAATATTTCAACGGATATGTTTGATGAAAGACATAAAAATATTTCAATGCTTATTATAGAAAAAATATGAATATTTCAGAATATATTTTAGATAAATAACATACATAAAAATATTTCAATGCATACTCTAGATCAAAGACATAAATAATTTTAATACAAACTCTAGAACATCAATATTGTAGAGCAAAATGCTAATACCCCTCAATATACGCATGTATATTGTAGAACAAAATGTTAATATTTTACATCCATATTGTATAGTTAAGCTATATATATCACTCGAAAACATGACATCTAAACACACACGACACAACCATGCATGTGAAAAGAAAAATGACTTGACGATAAACTTTAAATTATCATATATCTGCGCTGGAAAATCTTTACATCACCGGAATTGTGGCAAACTTCACTGTCATTTATACTTGTCCTAAACACTTAGAAATCCTTTCATAGGATAAAGATTCAATGCGAATTTAAATAATTGACTTCTTTTAATGCTTTTATTTTTCCTGATCTAAAAACGTTTGTCCGGTTATCCACCCGCATTTATGCCCTCCGGTTGGAATTACAGGAATTTCCATTTGGATTTTTTTCCCAATCTTATCATTTATTCGAACGGGCATTTCAATTTTACCAGACCCGATATAAATATATAGATTATCAATAAAACATCCTTTGTTATATATCGCATAATGGCATTTGTTATTATAAATGTTGTTAAACCTGTCTTATAGCCTCGGTAACTGTAACTGTCTTTCCGGTTCCTGGTGGACCAAATATCAAGTAAGGACCTGGACGACTGGTTCCCTGCACAATGTTCGTCACAGCCGTCCGCTGCTCTTCGTTGACATTTCTATCAAACCAAGGCCTTAACGAATTCAACGATTGATTCATTTAGCTTATAAAACTTAAAGGCCCATTTTGCCATAGAATTACAAAAGATTTATTTCTCACAAACTTTCTACCTTTGGAATCTCTGGAATAATACTCATTTGTTAATGGTCGCATAAATGAATATTGGCCTAGTGGTTAATGTGTCGGACTAATAACCCAAGAATTGCTGGCCGCGTGTGTTCAAACCCCGTCAGGGACAAGCCGTTGTTTCTTTGAGCAAGAAACTTTACACTCATTGCTAAGTAGTGGTTGGTTTAAGAAACGGATTCGGGAGTGTTTCAATAAGCTTATATCGTCCAACACAATCGAACTAAAATAAATTAGTATAAACCAATAGTTTCTTTATTATAACTGCACTATATTAGAAGCTGTTCATAAAATTGATCGGAAATGATACAATACAATACAGATTAAATATTACTGATGAAATAAAATTCAATGACAACGCTTTTATAAAAAAAATTTAAATTTAAATTAGTTGTTGACTTAAGTAACATTCATAAATTACTTTAGTGGAACATTGTCTTCTCTCTTGGATAACGAGGTTTCTTCGGAAGGAAAAAGAATCGTTTCTGCATATTTCAGACCGGTCAGAGCTCTATGCTGTACCCATAGATTAAACTTTAGAAAGTCAAATCTAATTTCATATCTTTTGCCTTTAATCCAAGTATCTCTCAATCTGTAATGGAAATTAACTGTACAGTAAAATCCTGATATTGTCAATATCAAATAGTAAACATTAAAGCTACAGTATGAAATGTTTTGCACACAGCATGGGTAAATTATTAGAATACCCATATGTTTGATTTCTTTGTCACTTCTGAAATTATTTTTTTAAATTAAAAATCCGACTTAAGCCGTTGCATGGAATTGCATTGGGCATGCTACACAATATCAAGAGGCGGTGCGGGAAATGTGTCACGCTCCCATGGGCGGCACTTGATGTGTAGCATTTACTTTTAAAGGACAACTGCTTGGGTATGTCACAGTTGCTTTTCACATGAGGAAGCGCTAAATGTTTCACACGTTTCACAATTACTACAGGACTTGTGTATTACAAGTACTAGGTTGTGGTGTCACAGTAATTTTTTAACCTGCTTCGGTGTGTTACGATAACTGTCTATAAACTGGTTTGTCACAATTACCATATGGCGATGAAGGTGGCCGAGGTAGAAATATAGGTAATCTATAAATATATATCGTGTGCATAATTGCAGCAAGTCAGTGGTAAAGAATTAAACAATAGCTTATTTTACAAAATCGTCACAAGTTTAAATCTTAAGAATCTAGTGAAGTGGGTATACTATTGAAGGTTGCAGTTCGGTTTGATTGATCCAATGGAGGGCGGCGGTTAAAGCACGCTATCGTGCATGCCGTCTAGCACAGAATTCAATATTGAAAAAGGAAAACGACTTCAAACATTTGCAGATAAAAACTATCAATAGTGTTTGCAATAAAATTGTGAACTGTGGTGGTTAATATTATTAATAAATAAATATAGTAAAATATGTCAACCTATCATATTATGTTAAAACAGGACATATTACAACATAAAACATAAGAAAATTGTTCGCCTCACCTCTTGGAAACACCTAGATCTACAGTCTCCAATTCTACCTTATGCACTATACCTTCATATCGAACATTTCTATTTCCATCGGCAAAAATATACACCCTATCCCCTCTCATTACTGAAGGTCGTCTCTCCATCAGACCTGGAACCTGTGTACATAAAATTGCAATTTTATTCCCCAAAATGGTAAAATAGAAAATAAAAATGAATGTATAGTTTTAAAAATAATCGAAAGTAAATCAAGAAAACATGTTTAACGGCTTTTAAATCGATCAAGCCAAACTGACGTCAACACATAACGTAACGCCATGACAATAGGCGAATCACGTGTACACAAATTACTGCATGAATACCTGCAGTTGTAGTTTGTACATATACGTAACACATCTAAACAATAAACTGCAAAATAAAGATAAAGGTTGACAAAAAATGTTCGTAATTTACAACACATTACGCTCTCTCACACATTATTACCAAAATACATATATTTTATAAATATTATAGACAAAGTTTAATCTTTAATAGAAATAACAAAACTGGATAAAGAATGGGGCTAGTGCTTGAAATTTAATATTTGCAGGGAAACAATAATTGGCATATTAATACATCTTTGCAAAGAATGTAAATAAATAAATTTCAGAGTAGTGTTGGAGCAGTACCTATATATAGATTCTTGCGGAAATCATGATCACAAAGTAGAAAAATATCGCTTTTTGCCATTTCATTATCGTATCTTAATCTTTCTAGAGATGAACTAGACGTTTCAAAGTTCATTATGTTGGATAAAAAGGCGAGACCTGAGCATTTAATAATTCAAGCGCCATGTCTAGTATATACCGAAATACGGTATTTCGTGTTGTGCTACAACATTTTTTTGTAATACTCACTCAGAATTAAAACCTTAAAACTAAACATTTTACATACCTCTAAAATCATGACTCCTCTGTGCATGTCAAGCGTCATTTCGTGAGATTTGAGATCATATATTTTTATGTCTTTAATCATTTGGAGCTCTTCTGTCCACAACAGTGTGTCAAACTTCGACTTATAGTTCGTTATGTCGAGGTCGCAGTCTATTGCGCGTCTGTATTAGCATAGTTATAAATAAAGTTATCAATGGTGAATGAAAATTGTCAAAATCATCCAATACATTGAATCTCAGTTTGTTGATTCTTAATAGATTAAATCTGAAATAAGTTTGACTGCAATTTAAGACAATGTTATAACAAACAAAACACGAATTAAAAAGATACTAGATACCAAAGTTATAGCTATTATAGCAATTGTTCAATTTAAAGACATGTGATTTTGGATAAGGAATTAAGAAATTTTTGCACTTTTCTTTTATTTCATGTTCCTTTAATAAGTAAACGAATGAATTTTATAAATAAAAATAGGACGTTATTCTTTTATATATCATTATATATTTATGTATTCTAACCTTAATTTCAAATCTAGTATCTCATGTTTGGCATTCAATCCTTTATCTACCTGATGCTTAAGGAAGGGTGGAATGAAGCTCGGAGAAAGCCTGCCCCCTAACAAGTTTTTCCCGGACCTGAAAATAAAGCAAATATATGTACCTTCTTGTTATAATTTACATACTTAAGTGTTTAAATAGACGTTCACCTTTATTTTTTGTAGGAAAACAATTATATGTTGCATTTCAGTAATTTAATCTTTGAAAAGTGCATCATATTGCTGTTAAGTCTTCTTCAAAACTTCAAAACTGCATCCTGAGAGATGTATATAACGCGTCAGGATTTTCGTTTCTCAGTCCACTTTACAAATTTACATATAGAGAGAGCGGTATATTAGAGGTACCCACCTTATTGTTTGTGCATTTTATCCACTTTCATTCTTTCGGTGTGACAATTATATAAAAACGATTAATCTAATAATAATAATAATAATAATAATATATATGTTTCTGTTAATTCATTAACTTTCATCCTGTTAACAAAAGTTTGTCTAATTTGTTAAATACTTATATATAAAAGCTTCATAAAAGTACGTTTATAAGTAATTTATCATTTATCAACATATCACTTTTTCATAATTGTCATATTTGGAATGTTTGTTTTCTCTAATTTTAATTTTTCAATCCAATTCAATATTCTATATTTGAATATTGAATTGAAAAATATTAATTTTGAATATGTATATATGCACGTGACGTGATATTTTGATATGATAGTTTTTGCTAACGTGTTAATTGCAGTCAATTATCGGCAATTTCTGTGTTGCTCCAAAAGGCAAGGAATAAAATAATTGACAAGAGCCGTGCTATATACATGCGGTAAGTAAAACAGCGCGGTGATAACGTGAAGATTACTTTGCATTACTTATTTATTTTTTTTACAAGGAAATGAAAATCAACGAATTTAAGAACCCACGAATATGCCCGTTTTGATAAAACCACAAAAATTCATGCCCACGAAAATCAATGATTTCACAGTGTCTGCTTGTTTGGTTTGTTTTGATCTGTTGTATCTTGCTTTTTTGTTATCACACATCTACATGTATTTATATTATAATACATAATATGACCTTACTTTCAAACAATTAATGTTGTTTACAAGTCTAAAACTATCTGCTATATAGCATTAAACAACACACAATCCGGTAAAAAGTCATAAGAACAGACTTACTTTGGGCACGGCTCACCAGGTACTGTTTCTTCAACACGTTCATCAGGAATCTTGTCAGGTTTCTTATATGGACCAATAGGAGCCATAGCTTCATGCAAATCACCTAGATGAAAACAAGCATTGATTATATATCATGAATGCATGAATCTTTTGTGTAAGATTAATGCTCATATGTAAACCATGTACAAAATAATATGTGTCAAGAACGGTGCGGATATATTTGTTATGATTTGTGCCATTCGTGTTTTCGCCCCGCGACCCAGACAAGCGAAAAGTCGAGAATAAACAAGTTAAAATAGCGGTGTGCGGAGCGGAAACACTCTAATTAGCAAAGGCTAATAAAACTTCGCCCCGTGCCCTCGCTAATAAGCATGTTTTGCTCCGCGCCCCCGTCATTTTAACTTGTTAATTCGCGACTTTTCGTTTGGCGGGGTCGCGGGACGAAAACACGCTAATTTGTGAGGGCGCTGCGAAGTTTTATTTATTCAATTTCGCCCCGCGCTCCCGCTTATTAGCCTGTTTTCGTTCCGCGACCCCGTCGTTTTATTTCTTTAATCTCGCTCCGCGCCCCCGCCATTTTAACTTGTTAATTTTCTACTTTTCGCTTGGCGGGTTTGCGGGGCGAAAGGTTCTGTGTAACTTTACAATGCCTTCAAATACTTTTACTCAGTCCTTAATATAATATCTTATAAAAAATAAACAATGTCGTACAGCAGTGACATTTAAGGAAACATTTAGTCACTTTCTGTGAATAGCATATCATTGTGTATAATTATCATTGTGTATAATTATGTCTTAAAATATAAATGATTTATTGGCACATTTGTGTATTTGCCTAATCATAGAAAGTAATTCACATACTTCATCAACCTAGCAGTTTAAATTGTTTTATTTTATGCTTTTCAGTGGATTACTGATTTATCCGTGAAAATTATATTTGGTAATTTCACAGTGAAAATTATCAAAATATAATTTCACTTTTTTCAATGACGAAACTACTTTTTTAAGATTTTCCCCATGTGGTACCTCAATTTTATTTTTGCTGACAATTCTGACAATGTCAGGCTGTTTAAAGAAAAAGGAAAGCTGAAATTGATAAATACCTGAAACGTCAAAAGTAATAAAAAGAAGAAAACTTACTTCTGTTCATTCAAATTCCAATCACCAAATTTCGTCTCTAAATTTTTTGTTTCATTTTTACAGTCTGAAAAATACATTCCTTCCACATGCAAACTGCTCTTGATGACATTTGGGCATATTAAAGTATCCTACGAGTAATAACTGCCGTATGCTTTATGAAAAATTGAAAAGCAATGACAGCTACAGCTCGTAGAACAAGTAAACAAACCCAGCGTTCCGAGCAAGTTCCAAGTCTTCCATTTTCATAGCTGCTTTTTTCATGTTTTCACATCTGTCAACACTTAATTTTTGTCTGTTTCAATCCTCAAATATGTTTTCTTTCTTTTAAAAAGGTGTATGACTAACAATTCCAAATGATATCCCTCTGAATCAAACACAAATTATTTTCCTCCCGTGAAATACACAACTTTAAAAAATGGCTGCCGCTTACATTAAACAAAGCCAGGTCTAATATAAAGTCGCAGTAGGTAACAGAAATATGGATGGATGGTTGGAATTTTCTCCTACACGAATTGTTTGTTTTTATTATTAAAACAAGCGATCATTTATATTTTTTAAACAAAATAAATAATATCACTGTCATTTAATGTTGATTGTCGGACTTATTTTTCAGCTCAAGACTTCTTGTTTTTAATGAGAAATTCTCACGAAATGGGGCTCTCAATGGGGAAACAGATTTTAATATTTATGTTAATATTATGGAAATTTCGTTTAAACTTGTTTTTTAGCATAAAATAAAAAGAAAATTTGTTTGTTTGTTGTGTAAGATGTAATTTTATTTCATCTCGTGAACTTTAAAAACAGTATTCTCACTCGTGGCTACGCCACTCGTGAGAATACTGTTTTTAAAGCCCACTCGATGAAATAAAATTTCATCTTACACACAAACAAACAAATATCCTCTATATCACACCTTGCATTTCTTGTGTATAAATGAATAATAAGTTAAAATACGAACCGCTGTGAGAAATAAGTTATAAAGATGAAATGGAAATGAATTTTAGGATGTTGAAGCTCGGTTCTATTGAGTTTTTTATGGACAGCAAAAAACTAATACAAAGGACTGGATTATATTTAAGCAGCCATATTACCTAGCACGTGCACAGAGACAAAACGTGGAACAAGCTCTTCTGAATGCTGGTCAGCAGTGTCTTGTATGAGCTTATTGTTCCTATCCATCCACTCAAAATAGAATGCTAATGGAACAAAGTGGTGGCCAAAATCTACAGGAGCCTTACATTGTACACGCATCTCAAAGCTAGTTCCTTAAATAGATAAAAAGATGATTTAGAATGAGCCACATTAAATAACAGTCAACTTCGTACTCTGATATATACTATATCAAAATTCAGTTACACTTAGCTTTAAAAGTATCAAATAATTCAGTCTTTATATCAAACCCTACCTAAGATAAGATTTTTTTTAATTAAAAGCTCATACATAACCTGGTTTACCATATTGTCTGTTTGAAATATAAGTTAAAAACAGACTTTGAATCAAAAGAAAAGTACACAGTATAACCAGTAAGTTTCTTAATTCATTTTTAACAAAAGGTTTATTGCCATGAAGTTTAAGTAAGATGACGTGCCGGGGGGGGGGGGGGGTGTGGGAAAAGATAGTCTTTGGCAAACATGGTGACCAAAGAGACCAATTTGTTTTGTCTTTCTTTCGAAATTTTGTGCAGAGCCCTTCAATTTCTTTGGTGCCGAGCCTGATAAATTTTGTATTATCAGACACTGGTTTTCTTTTCTATTTATCATGTTTGTAATTATAATAAGCGTTCTTTATGAAACAAAAAGCAGAAAAGAACCTCTGAAGTTCATGCCGCGCTCAGTAATATGCCAAGGGAAAAAAGTCCCAAATGTTTTAGTCAAATGTAAGGTATTCAAAATATATATTCGATTCAAAATGTTTAATCAGTTTAATATTTCCAAACTACAATTCTCCTCATTTTTTTTTTCAATATGCATTGATGAGGTGACTGAGAAAGGTTAGGGTGACTGACAATGCTATATTTATCTGGCATGCACTTTATCAACATAAATCAATGACATGATAAAACTTTGAATATTATCATACTAAAACTCATTCCTGGTATTTTACAACACAGTTGACAACTTGTATTAATACCTGGCTGTATGTGAAAGTGGAATCTAGGGGGTCTAGTGTTGTCTTTTTGTACCAATCTAAAAACGCCTGTATCCCATAGTAACAAATACCTTCTTAGTAGTAGAGTATGCCAATCACGGCTCTTGTTTTTGATGGAAATCAGCATGAATACCTCATCTTTAGGTCTACATTCTTTTTCTATAAGCAAACTGGTGTTTACCATTGGTACAGACTCAATTTCGATTCCACTTGGACAAGTCAACATCTGGTCCCTGGATTAATTAAGATTTAAGATACCATACAAGAAATAAATACATGTAATTTCATTTCATACAAATGTAAACTAGTATGTAATTTTGAAATACATATGACACAATAAAATACATAAAGTCTGAACAAAATATATCCCTTAAAGAAAATACCTATCACTGAAAAATTAATTCTCAGTGTCTACATTTTTTTTTTTTTTTTTTTTTTTTAAAGAGAGAAATTGAATCCCTAAAGAAAGTCCAAAAAAGGCTCCGTTTGATAAAGGATCTCCATGGACCCTAGCTAGCACCAGCCTAAGCAGAATTCAGAACTTAAATATAGTTATGATGTAATTTTGAATTAAGAAACATCCGCAGATGTGTTTATACGCCAGTTATCATGGAACCTTCAATAAGACACATTATTGCTATTCCATGAAAAGCGTTGTATGGTCCCCCAAGTAAACAAATGCGAAAACCCGAAACGTTTTCCTTCCGTGTGTGTGTGTGGGTGTGTTTGTGTGTGCGTGTTGGTGTGCGTGTGCGTGCGTGCGTGTGTGTGTGTTGGTGTGCGTGTGTGTAGGTGTGTGTGTGTGCCGGTGCGTGCATGCGTATGTGTGTGCTTGCGTGCGTGTGTGTGTGTTTTGTTTTTTGTTTTTGTTTCTTTGTTGTTTTAATTCTTGTTTCTTTTTTCATTCTGTTTTGGTGGGGGTGGGTTGTGTGTGTGTGTTTTTCTGGTCTAAACAGATGTAATAACATATATTTTATGAAAGATAATTTCAGTCCTGTTTTAAATATGTAGAAACAGATTCACAAGGGAGATTGATTTTCATGACACCAGCCCTAAACAATGTCCAGTCTAATAGGTTGTCTGCAACGGCACCCAATAGGGCATCGGTCAGAACCTTTACAAGGGACGAGAATGCCTTAATGGCGGTGAAGGGAAAGGACCATGAAAAAAAATAAAAGTTATAATAAATAAACAAATTAGCATTAACTCGCAAGATTAAGAAAGATCCCGAAATAGCAATTAAAATTTTAGGGGATTAAAGGGACGGGGAAAATGATTACTAAAGGGCAATTGCTGTGTTTCGCTGTTGACTTCATTTCAACGCAATTCACAAAAGATTTGCGTTTCTTTATACTGGTAACAAAGGCTGTGAAATTTATGCCGAACCATTGCAACTGTGCTAAAAATAACAGTAATTATGCCAAAGTGCGTTGTTATTTTTATTCATGTAAAATTTTGTACCACTATATTAGTTGTTCAAAATAGCATCAAATAGTATCAAAATTTCAAAACGAAGTACTAAAAAATAAGGAAATGGAAATTAACGAACCTGTTTTTGTAGATGTTGTAATGAAACTGATGAATTCTGTGTCTAGTACCGTTTTGATGTTGATCAAAATCGTTTTCTCCCGAGCATTGTACCCCACAAACGCCACAAAAATTGGGTGTACATGCCGCTTTTTCTTGCCATTTTTCTAACGTTTTCCTGTAGTCTTCAGAACCAATTATGTTTCCATACTCTCCCTGTACATCCTTTCCAAATATGTAATAATCACCCAGCTCGTGTATCATGTTCTTGTATCTAAGATACCGCAAAACATCTCTGTATTTAATATCAGTATAGTGAGGATTACTATTCCGACGATGTAGAAGAAATTCTCCTTCATATATCGCTTTAAGATCATCTCTTTTAATGACGTCTGGATGATCATTGTCTGTCAGATATTTTATAAATACCTTAGTCTCTTCACCTGCAGAAGTTCCACGATTTCTTCTCCGCATTTTCTAAGAAATGAAAAATATACAAATATTTGATTTTCATGATAAAAAAACAGTATGAAAATAATCTGTAACTAATATATAGCTTATGATATTCCTCACGTAAGCAACTGTGGTCAGAACAAATTTGTTTTCCTATGCCGTATATTATTTTGTTACTAGGGGTCATTGGTTTGTTCCTCGAGCTAGGCGTATACAATGAATCTCGGACATATAATGTAATGGTAATTTGTTGGGTAAATGCTGATTGGATAATTAATCGGTTGCTTGCAGAATAAATGGTAATTACTAATAAGTTGTCCCGGATAGCTTGATCGACCTCCATGAAATGACCAAAATTGTGTAAAAATTAGAGCTATCATGAAATCAATGTATCGTTGATATTTTTGTGCTTTGTTAAAAAGGACCTTCGATAGTTTACATGAATACATGTTTTTAATAAGGGCATAAATTGTGAATGCTAGTTTATAAAATATATACATCTCCGTGTTGTAATTAGTATGCATAAATCACCGATTTGGATATATTATTTATATTCTCGAAAACACGACATCAACAAATTAATGCTACCGCCGTAAGGACCAACAGTGATTTTATTGCATAGCACAAACTTTTGGTACTTTTATGTTCAATAGGGAAAATTTCGGGTCATTTTAGACATACAAACATATTAATTCAGACAAAACAAGGAAAGTGACGTTACATCGTTGAGCGACAAATAATTATTATTTCTATATAATTATTTATACGACATCCCCAGCAACGATATTCAAAAAGTGTCTTCTTACTTCTGTAAGAAGACACTTAAGGTATTACCACCCTAATAACTGAAAAATTTATATCATAGGTCAGATATATACCTTAAAGTACACCTGTATGCAAAATTTAAACAAACTTTACCGTACGGAAATCGAGTTATGTCCACTTTTATGAACTGAAGCTAGGGTGTATGAGGGCCCTGTTTCAGAAATAAGTAACCTTTAAAATAATTTGCAATAACATTCTAATGAAAAACGTTTTCCCATTAAATTTTGGTAAGAAACAAATAGTACTATTCAGCAAACAATCAACATAAACAAAATTATGGTTTCTACTAAAAATTTATACTTTTACCGGTCTAGTTTTTGATTTTATTACACTTTGAAAATATCAGGTACCATATTTATTACTAGATTAAAATAGCATTATTTAGCCAATAAATACCTATATGAATTAAATAATAAAAAATAAACACTTTTTTCTACCCAAAATGGATGGAGAGATACATAAATAATGTTAAAAGAAAAAGAAAATAAAATAAAAAAGTTGACCCATCTGAGGTCTGAACCCATGACCCTCAGTTTCAGTGTAGTTAACAGTAGTTCTAGCCCATCTGAAATACTCTTCAAGCGGAGATAAGGCATTAGGATGGTAATACCTTAAATACAACAGAGATATAGTGCAGCTGAAACATATGGTGTCCTACTTGAGCCAGGTACATGACACCTTTTGCCATGCAATGTTTTTCTTCTAAAATTCTCATGTCGCCCTTCTTTATCTGCTTCGACTCGGACAATTTATAGTTTATCCTAGCAAACTGTCTTCTTGCGTCTGTAAGAAGACACGTTTTAAGAAAAACTCGAACTGTTTCTAAAATACTATTGACACTGGTGGTATGGCACAATATGGAAAAACGCTTATGTCTACTGGTACTTCTTCACAATATCGTTAACGGAATATGTCTGATAGTACTATGTCTCAATATCGATAAAGGAATATGTCTGATAGTACTCTGTCTCAATATCGATAAAGGAATATGTCTACTGGTGCTATATATTAAATATCTATACAGGAATCTGTCCACTGGTGCTTTGTCACACTATCTCTAAAGTTATCTGTCTACTGGTGCTCTGTCACACTATCTGTAAAGGAATCAAAATACTGGTGCTATGTCACACAATCTGTAAAGTAATCTGTCTACTGGGGCTCTGTCACACTATCTGTAAAGTAATCTGTCTACTGGGGCTCTGTCACACTATCTGTAAAGTAATCTGTTTACTGGGGCTCTGTCACACTATCTGTAAAAGTAATCTGTTTACTGGGGCTCTGTCACACTATCTGTGAAGTAATCTGTCTACTGGGGCTCTGTTACACTATCTGTGAAGTAATCTGTCTACTGGGGCTCTCTAACACTATATGTAAAGGAATCTGTCTACTGGGGCTCTGTCACACTATCTGTGATGTAATCTGTCTACTGGGGCTCTCTCACACTATCTGTAAAGGAATCCGTCCACTGGTGCTGTGTCACACTATCTGTAAATTAATTTGTCTACTGATGCTCTGTCACACTATCTGTAAAGGAATCTGATTACTGGTGCTCTGTTCACACCTATCTGTAAAGGGAATCTGTCTATCTGGTGCTCTGTCACACTATCTGTAAAGTAATCATATTACTGGTGCTCTGTCAACTATCTGAAAAGGAATATAATTTCTGGTGCTCTGTCACACTATCTGTAAAGGAATCTGATTACTGGTGCTCTGTCACACTATCTGTAAAGGAATCTGTCTACTGATGCTCTGTCACACTATCTGTAAAGGAATCTGATTACTGGTGCTCTGTCACACTATCTGTAAAGGAATCTGTCTACTGGTGCTCTGTCACACTATCTGTAAAGGAATATAAATACTGGTGCTCTGTCACACTATCTGTAAAGGAATCTGATTACTGGTGCTCTGTCACACTATCTGTAAAGGAATCTGTCTACTGGTGCTCTGTCACACTATCTGTAAAGTAATCTGTCTACTGATGCTCTGTCACACTATCTGTAAAGGAATATAAATACTGGTGATATGTCACACTATCTGTAAAGGAATCTGTCTACTAATACTATGTCACAAATCTATAAAGGAATCTGTCTACTGGTGCTATGTCACAATATCTCATAAAGAAAGTGTTTACTTGTGTTTTATCACAATATCTATAAAAGAATATGTCTACAGTTGTAATGTCACAATAATTATCTTTAAAAGAATCTGTCCACTAGTGCTATGTCACAATTTCGATAAAGACATGCGTCCAATGGTGGTATGCCACAATATCTATAAAGGCATATGTCCAGTGTACAGTGTCATAATATAGATAAAGGCATTTATCCACTGGTGCTATGCCACAATATTCATGAAGGCATATGTTAACTGGTGCTATGTCATAAATATCACAAATTTTGTACCCATTTATCAAGTCCTTTGGAAAACAAATATAAAGTAGGTTAAAATACGTAAAAATATAGTGAAAGAACACCAATAAGAAGTAAATTACTACAATTCTGCCGTTAGAATAATCGCTCTCGCATATGATTGATTTAAGCAGTGTTAATTACTACTTAATCCGGTTAACAATCCGTCGTTGGGGGGTCTTGTTTCGAAAATATATTTTGAACAGTAAACTAGCTACGTGTGTGCTTCTTATACCTTTTTCAGCCATTGATGCAACAAAGTCGTATTTTATTTATGGAATGCTTGGTATATAAAGCGCAACAGTGTTACCCATTATACCCTGTGATATCTATGAAACGCGTTCCAATTCACCGGTTATACCCGGTGCTATCCATATTGATCGAGATTTTTCCATTTACAATACAACAAATAGTTATTCAGTAATTTATAAAGAGAGAATGTCAAAGCAGATCTACATTTTTAAATACTCAAAAGAATATCGATATGTAGAAAGAATTGTATCAGATCAAGGTTTAACGCTGGGGAATTAATTATTACATATTTATCTATCTTTGTGCGACCAGGCTATTTACATTTTTTTCTAAACTATTTGTTGTTTGTTCCGTGTTTTTTTTGTGTTTTTTTTTGGTTCAGATTTTTAAATCTAATACCTGGTTTATGCGGGGGTTATCCCTTCGCTGGTGTGGGCTAACTGGCAAACTGTTCACCAACATATATACAACTAAAAGTGGAATTTGTATACAAATCACGTAACACTAATAATAGTTGAATTGTAATGTAAAAATAATTACAGTCATTTGCCTAGAATGGAACGAATTATTTGAGTTAACAATTATTATCACAATAAAATTGGAGTTGTACAAAAATGTCGAGTATCTGGTAACAAATGCCGTGAAAATGGCGTCCTTCATATTTATATTTAATACATAGTATATATTCAGATAAACTCATGTAGTTCCGTCCATTCTTTGTAAGTTTTAAAACATTTAAGCAAAATTATGATATATGATAGTCATGTAGCAAAAGGCAATGTAGGTTACACAATGTGTTTGTCTTATCAAATTTCATATGTACAACGTGTATAGAACTTTATATATAAGAAAAGCTCGAAACGATTTAAAACGTGTTTAAATTAATTAAAAAAGTATTTTACTAACCTTCAAACACAAAATAAACACTCACAAATAATAGTAGTAAACCGTTATGTATTTTACAAATGACTAAATGTTTATAATCATGCATCTATATTGAGTAAAGTCTTTATCCTTTTTTTTTCATAAAAAATGTATTGACGGTTAAAAGGTACTAAATAAATTTCCTTCTTCATTATGTACTTACAAAAGCCACAGGAGGTCTGTAAACCTATATATTCCTGCAGACATGATATTATATAGTAGATTTCGAGGATATTGGATATTAATTACCATATTTTGTCGCATATAAAATTTGGACGTGGGGTCGGTGTAAATACAGAATATAACAAGAAAAGCATTGATGCAAAACATCAAAGGGTGTCCAAGCAAGAAATGCAGCAGGTGAAGATGAACAAGTAGATATATGATTATAAACTTTTCAATGGTTAATTGGTTTTTACCAGAATTGTATATCACTTATGAATGAACGGACGAAAGACATTGTTCATTATTAATTTTGATTGGCATGCTAGAGATTAGAATATTACTTGTTATTTCTTTATGATCGTGGTTATTAATAGCAACGGATATACATGTATACAATCATTTATAATCCATATGTGTAATGCATGATCAACACCACACTTGTGTAATTGTCCCTTATTATGTTATCGCTATTAACGAATACCCCCTCTAAAGGTATCTGTTCACACTTATTAACAATATGACACTGATTACATTACCATGTTGACCATTTTGAGCATAATTGTTTATTATACAATAATTGTAATACATATTTTAATAAAAAAAATACATATTTTATGAATATTGTTTTCTCTTCTTTTTTTTGTATTTTATGTGCTATTTTAATACTGAGTTTTACGTTTACTACTATTTTAAGAATTCAATTGTCATATTGACCGACGATTATAAGTAAAAACTTAACTGGAAAAAGTCAGTAAATTATGGTTAATCTTTCAATATATAATATTGTTTATTCTTAAACCATATATATGTACATTTGTATTTTTCTTTATCATTTTTTAAATTATCAATCAATTGAATAATTCATAAAATCTAATTTGTAACTTTGAATAATTCCTCGGCATCTTTACTAAACACGAATAACAAATTAAATCAAATGTTTCAAAGTTTATAGTGTCATATTAATACCATAAAAATGTACCTTTTTTCTCAATTAATGTACATATTTATTGTTTTTATCTCATATAGATAAAATAAAACATGCTATTGTTGGGGTTTTTTTTTTAATTGTATGTTTATGTATAATAATAATCAATAAATTTGAGAGTTGATCTGTGTTTATTAATTATTGTAACCAAACTAAGTGACAAACATTCATTTTAAAAAAAACTTATATAAATATAAAATATTTGTTCTGTTCTGTAACGATATCAAACATCTACTCCAAAACCGGGAGAGATCGGACAATAAACGTGTGGTACTATTCGCCGGTCACCAGTAAATTCCGGTCAAAATAGACCAGGAGAGACCGGGAATTACCGATAGGAATACATCCCTCTATAAATAGATTTTCGGAATATTTATGTCATCAACTCATCATTCTATTCAGCTTTCGGATATATATACCATACTAACCCACCGTGTACTACAAAATGATAAATAAAAATACCCCGAAGAGCGCGATTTATTGACGGAAAAGGTTATTTCATTTGAAAATGCTTGCATTGCGAAATTCTCCAGTTCGCTATTCATTGTATATATCGCGACATTTCATTTTTAAGTAGTAATCAAGCACCCTCATACTGATCGGAATGATCGGCTTTTATTATGTCCGACTAAAAGGCTCGAGAAGTTGCTGTCGCCCTTTCACAAAATCTGATTTCATTCCATAAGAGGCGCCGCGCTTCGGCGCGGACGCCAAATAACTCTGTGATGTCATACGCTATTAATTATTTGGTTAAAACTTACTTTATTCAACAATGCTTATAATTTACATACTAGTTAATGAAACAACATGCATATGACCATAAGTTAAAGATTTTTACTGCAAGCTATCATCTTACAATATCAGCGTCGGTTAGTGGTGGTTTCCATAGTTTCATCTATCGCTGATAAGCTAATCTGTAAAATCCAGATATATGTCGTTAAACTAGATCTAGATACTCTTGTATCACTTTTCTTGCAGCCCATCACATTACCTGTTCTATTACAAGTAGAATAAGCGAATACAAAAATGAAAAGTGAATTGTCCATATTGCCATGTGATAATAATTTGGTCTTAACCGTATTTTGACAAGTCCATTACAGGGTAAGTCTGCATATTATAAGAGATTGAAATTGTCAACAACTATATAAAGTTTAATTTAAAAAAAATATGTGCACCATGGTTGTAGCTCTGTTGGTAAATCAACGTCACTGTAACTTTAAATGATTTGCATGATGTCGTTTTTTTTTGTTTTTTGTTGTTTTTTTTTTGTTTTGTTGTTTTTTTTTGGGGGGGGGGGGTTATTGGATTTTTTTTCACCTTTTTTTTTCTTTGTCTGTATCTGTATTTTGTAATGATCATTTGAGTATATTTTGTTCCTCTAAATTTCTATTTTCTATTTATTTTTTATTTCATTTTTGTTCTTTTCTTTATAAAGAACCAACTACATGTCAAGTGATTTTTGTTTTATTCAATTTTTTTAATCAAACTATTTTAAAGACATTATTATTACTAAATATTAATAATCTGTATATATGGATCAATTTATAACACACTTCATTGCATTGTATTTTTTACATCTCTGATAAAACTGTTTCCCAAAACTTAATACAACTTCATTTCAACCCTAGTAAAAAAAATTTCTATTTTATGCATTTGTAAATATTTGAAATAAGAAAAAGATACATAAAACACTCAAATGTAATGGTACCTTACCATGATACGAGCATCTTAATGCATGAAACATCGCTGACACGGACGCTCTGTCTACTACGCTATCAAGGCACACATGAAAATATGACATGTTACTTTGTGTTTTATTAAATAATATAAGGTTTCAGACCGCCTTACCTATTTTTAGACTGCCTTATCTAATTTTAGACTGCCTAATCTATTTTAAGACTGCCTTATCTATTTTCGCATTATTATTAATCTTTATGTATTATCGTCTTGGGACAGTACTTTGGCAACAATGCCCCCAGGTTAATATTTGAACAAAGTGTGAAATATACCTCAAATATTTAATGCATATAAAACGTTTTTGAAACGTTCATGATTTAGAAAATTCAAATAATTCTGGTATATACATAAAATTAAAAGTAGAAAAAACTTTAAACTCAAAATTGTTCCAAGAAGTTATATGTGATCCTTTAAAAAATTCATAGCATAATTTCAAAAAATGATAATCCGTTTGGTTTGCGTTTCTTTTTTTGCATATAAACCAAATCTAGACGTATCTGTGTAAAGTGGCCCCCTATATCAATAATTATTAGGCAAAGGCATATTTCAAAGTCTGCACTTTAAAAAATGGCGGACAACTATTTGTTCCTCTCTCGTTAGAGAAGGGGAATCATGTGGTGCGTGTATGTGGTCGCACGGTCACTTTCCTTAAAACCTGTCCTCGATGCATGTATGTGGTCGCATGGTCGAAAATTTCTAGTATAATGATAACGTTTTCAAAGGTTTCTGGTACGGAACAGTCCGGTGCATAATCTTCATAATCTTATAATATGTTGAAATCTAAATAAGGGGCGTTAAGTCATATAACAACTTGGTTACTTCTGATTTGGAATATCAAAGTCCAATAAGCACTTTTTCACTCTTAATTAAGATCTATAAAAGCTTAATGAAATTTGATTCTCCTTTAAAAAAAACTTATTACAATTTTATACAACCAGCTGCAACGAAATAGAAATTATTACTAATAATAAGGAGAAATGAACCTAATCACAACTTTGTATTTCTAAATAAAAAGTGCTATAAATCCTTATAAGGAGGAATAAAACAATATCAGGAGTTGAGAAATAAAATCTTAATGAGGAAGAAACTTCAAAAGATAAAATATGAAATAAAAACCTAATTTGAACTCCGTACTTACTATACTTACGTTTTTATACAAAGGACAAATAATAATTTATCCCTCCTAATAATTTTTTTAAACTTTTAACTCCAACCGACTATAATTTGAGCGCAACAGTAGCCTCCCTTTAAACCCTTACGCTATTTGCAATGTTATCAAGAGAGTTCACTCAAATTGACTCAATTTTGAGCGCAACAGTCACCTCCCTATGAACCCGTACGCCATTTGCAATGTTATCTTGGGAGGCCACTCTAACCGACTCTATATTGAGAGAACAAACATCTCCCTTTAAAGCCTTAAATCTTTTGCAATGTTATCAGGGGTGGTCGCTTTAACCGACTTTATTGTGATTGCAACAGAAACCTCCCTTTGAACCCTTATCCCATTTGCAATGTTATCAGGGGTGGTCACTCTAACATATTCTATTTTGAGCCAAACATTCATCCCCATTTGAACCCTTACACCATTTGCAATATTTTAAGGGGAGGTCACTCTAAAAGATTCTACTTTAAGGTAGCACTCCACACTAAATTTCAAGTTTCTGCCGTCAATGTCCTACAAGCAATATGTCTAATAAATCTGATCCCAAACTACACAACCTGGAAAAAGAAAACACATTTTGTTAAGAACATATATGTCATAACATTGCAAATCTGTAATGAAATCATCCCATGTGCAACAGTCAGGCAGTTAAAAAAATCCCAATTCAATCCGTAAAAGCCAAAAATCTATAGTGGTCTGAGGCCCAAAACAATATTTTTCGTCCCTCCGGCAAAAAAATACCTGCAAATATACGGACTACAGAAACTCTGTCACTGCTTTAGCAACTCCCTAAGCATGCAAACTATCACAAAGAAATAGGTGCTTGGCCTTGTAGATTCTTTGCTATTGCTGAAAGTTTGTACCCCCCTGTAAAATCACTTGTTTTCACCGAGCATGCTGTTTATAAGCAATGTTTACAAACAATGGCGGCCTTGACATCTATAATAAGCAGCATGTTCTTTCTAACCATGTTTTCGAATTTGCCAATGATCATATAACATGTTACAAAAACAAATTTCATGCTGAAAATGCATTTTAAAGACAACCAGTCATTTAAATCCACAATAGTCACTATATCCATGAAATCCTCCCTGGCCATT